TACCTGCAGGAGCTGCTCGTGTGGGACGGGTTCGTGCGGTGGCAGGCCGACTTCGATTTCGTGTTTCTGGTCGACACCGACGAGTTCGTGCAGCTGTTCGAGCGCGAGGCGCCGCACAGGCGGATCGACGCCAAGACCTTCATCGCGCGCAATCGCGAGCGGCTGCAGACCGGCGGCCACGCCTACATGAACCGGCTGCGGGTCGGCCGCACGCAGGACCACAGCACCGCCGAGGCCCAGTTGCCGGCGTTTCTTAACGGCATGGTCTCCCTCGATGGGGCGCAGATCCAGGAGCTGACAGATGCGGGCAGTGGCGGGTGGGAGAGCCAGGGGAAGAGCCTGTTCTTCGCGAACGGGGCGGTGCAGCCTTACCTGCACTGGAGCGTGGGCTACCCGAAGGACAAGTGGGCAGTCGAAGAAGCGCACATCCTGCACGTGCGCAAGAGCGCCCACCATGACTGGGCCAATGGCCCACTGACCTGGTGGTTGCACCACCTTCGTGGAAGATAAAGCTTGTCGGTGCTGATGATGAACTTGGTGATCGCGTCGGTTCCAGCTTTTTTGGCGCCTGATTCGCAGGCTGGAAAGAACAGGAAACGCGCAAGGAAAAGAACAAGAAAAGAAAAAAATAGCAAAGACAAAAAATAATTAAGATGGAGGCCAACACCACGCAGGGGGCCGAGAGCGCCGTTGCAGAGGGGACTTTGCTGCCGCTGCCGCTGCTGGGCGTAGACTGGACCGGACCCGCGGCCGTCGGCTGCATGGCCGCCGTCGTACTGACCATCGTCGCCGAACCTCTCTTCAATCGGTTCGACCTCAAGTGCCTGGCCAAGACCGCCGCCTCCACCTGCTTCCTCTGGACCGCGCTCGCCTCCGCCTCCGCCACCGCCGGCGCCGATGGCCAGTGGTCGGCCTTTGCCCAGGTCGTGTTCGCATCGCTGGCCCTGGGCTGGCTGGGCGACGTGTGCCTCCTGTCGCCCGGCAAGCGGGCCTTTCTGGTGGGCCTCGTGTCGTTCTTGGTGGGCCACCTCGGGTTCGCCTACGCCTTTGCGTGCCTGGGGCCGCCGGGCGAATTTGATGGGACGTGGCTGGCCGGTGGCTGCGCGGTGATGGCGCCGCAGGTGGCCCTGGTCTACGCCTACCTTCGGAACCACCTGAAGGGCTTCATGAAGTATGCCGTCGTCATCTACATGCTCGTCATCTCCTTCATGTTACGTCTCTCCATCACCACGCTTTCCGTTCTTTCTTCGTTTTCTCTCTTTGACGTTTTCGCTCTTTTTTTCGCTCTTCCAGGGTGGCTGCAGCTGCGGGCATGTGGGCGGGTCGTGGCGTGGACACGAAGCAGTTCAACCTCCTGGTGGGCAGCTTCATTTTCTGGATGAGGTACGACTTTGCGAGCTCTAATCCTGCTTTGTGTCGTTGTTGTTGTTGACGCCGTCGTTGTTGGTGTCGTGTGTGTCATCATCAGCGACTTGAGCGTGGCCAGGAACGCCTTCGTCAGCAAGGGACCCGAGAACGCCGTTCTGGGCCTGCCCCTGTACTACGCGGCGCAGCTGATCATCGCCTCCAACATGTTCTGAAGAAAAGAACAAGTGTGTGTTATGTGTAGCGTGTGTTGCACCTGTGCCGTGTGTCGTGCGGTCGTGTGTGGTCACAGCAGTTCAACAAGCAAGTGTTTGTATTTACCTTGTTTCTCTCTCTCTCTCTCTGGTCATATGCGCATCTGTTGGAACATGTCAAGCGCGCCGCAGGGACAATCGCACGAGTAGCACACGGACGACTCGCACGCGACGCAGAAGTCCGTGTCCTCGCTCTCAAACACGCGCTCGCAATTGGCGCACGTCACGCCGCAGAAGGTGCACATGTGCGGCAGGAGGCTCCTCTGCTGGTGGTGCGGGTGGTGCTGCGGGTGATGCTCGTGTGAGGCGGTAGCCGTCGGTGCTGATGTTGCTGGTTGTGCGTGCGCTCGTGTAGCTGGCGCGTGAGTGTCGTCGTCGTTCCCGTTCCTCCTCTTCTTTTTCTTCTTCTTTTTCTTCGGGCCAGCTGGGTGATGAAGTCGGGTTAGGAGGCGTGCGTGTGGTTGTGTGTGCGGTGTGTGCGGTGTGGGGATTACCTCCGGGTCTCGTGTTGGTTTCGGCAAATGTGGCCTTGGGGCGCACGCAGTTCCGGCAGCCGTTGACGCCGCACTGCTCACAACGCTTTCCCGCCGCGCCGAAGCATCTGATGAGGGACACACGAATTCGTGGGAAGCAGTCAGTAACTGAGCGCGCTTGTGATGGAGCAGAGCGCTCACCGTGCGCAGACTTCGGCCGAGCAGATGAAGCACTTGGTGAGGTGGGCGGTGGCCTGGCCGCACTGCTCGCAGCCGTTGATCCACACAAAGAGGTCGCACCCCTCGCAGCATATCAGGGTCTTGCGCTGCTCGCACCAGTCAGCGACATTCTGCATCACCTCTCGCACCGCACACACCGCACACGCGCGTGGCAGCGTACGCTGGACTGTGTTTCGGTGAGCGCGAGGGCCTCGTCGTCCGGCTGCTGCATCACGGCCGCGCAGAAGGGACACGAGGGCAGGAGGAGCCCGTGAGGCCCGCGCTGCTGCGGCGCCTGACTAGTTTTTGTCGACGAGCCGCTGAACGATGATGCGGGTGGTGGCGGGTTGGTGCGGCCCTTGAGGTCGACCAGGCGGGTGAGGCGGAAGTAGGAGAGCTGCCACTGGTCGTCGTGGGGCTGGAGGGTGGTGTTGTGGTTCGCGCAGACAAAGGGCGAGGACTGCACGAAGCTCCCCAGCAGCTCGCGCCACAGGCTGCGGTCCTGGGCCAGCTCTCGCCACACTTGATTCACCCGCTACTCGCCGCCCAAGACAAGCGTTTTACATCACAAATAAAGAGGATGAATAAAGAAATAAATGCACACGTCACTACAAGATGGAAGATGGGGAAGGGGGCTCACCTGGCAGCTGAGAAGTTCTGAGGCGGAGAGGAAGGACATGCAGCGTAGGAGTACCTCGTGCGGGAGGAGCTCCTCGAGCTGGTGGTGCTGGTTCACCAGCGGCCCAAGGCCAGCTCGTAGGTAGCTGCTGCTCCCCTTCATCAACAAGATGTTGCGTCGAGGAGTGCAGGGAGGGGTGAAGACGTAACCAACTGCTTCCGCGGAGATGGAGGCTTTCTCCATTTCCTTTCTGCGGCTTTTCTTTGGGGTTATCAGAGCTCTTCCTGGTTAAAACCTAGAATGAGCAATTAGGGCACCAACAATGTCTGTGCTCCCTAATTGCAATGCTTCCTTGCCAACAGAGTAGAGCAGTCTCAGTGTGCAAGCTCATCTGCCCCAAGTGGCCTTGGAGTGTAGTTGGCATGCTATTGAGCCAATGAATGGCATCCTGGATGGTGCCTCTGCCTCAAGAAATCCAGAGGGCTTGAGTGTACCCCCAATGTTGCACATGTCTCTGGAGTTGAAGTCAGCAACAATGACCTGGCAGCCCAGCCAGCCCAGGTGCTCTTTGGATAGGATATTACACGACGAAAAAGAAATCATCAAGGAAAACAGTTTGCGGCCAAATTAATTATTATTTTTGCTCCGCCTTTTTGTTTTGCGGAGGATGGAGCACGGCGGGGCGGGTTGGTTGCGGTCCGTGTGGAAGGCGCAGAGGCGACTGTGGGCCTCTGTGGTCAAGCGATTGAATGGGCTGCCCATTATAATCTTCTACCGCTACCTCTACGAGAACAACAAGCCCCTTCTGGCGCAGGGTCTCACCGTGAATTACCTGCTGCCGATGGTGCTCGAAATCTTGCCCTTCTGGTGGCTCTCCAGTCGCAAGCTCGGCAATCGCCTTCGCAAGACCCGCATCAAGCTCAACCACAACATGGTTAGCTTTCTCCCCACTTTTTCTTTTTCGCATTGGCCCCTCGCGAATGCGCTAATTCACTGAGTTTTTTAATTATGCTTATTATAAGCTTATTGATTTAAATCAAGTAATAACAATAATTGTTAACTCGCGTGGTGGGCGGTGCAGGCGACAGGGAAGTCGTTCTTGGGGTCGCTGGTGATGGAGTTCTTCCTGCTCACCATCTTTCACGCCATACTTGACACAGTCAAGCGCCACCTCCAGAACCGAACGGTGCTCTCTCTCCCTCCTTTCAACACCTGGTCGCTTTGCATTGTCGTGTCGTTGGTCGTGTCGTGTGTCGTGTGTCGTGTGTCGTGTGTCGTGTGTCGTGTGTCGTGTGTCGTGTGTCGTGTGTCGTGTGTCGTGTCGCATCACATCGCGTCGCGTCGCGTAATCTCTAATATGTGGCGTCATCATCGTCGTCTTCGTTCTTCTTCGTTTTCGTTTTTGCGTGCGTGCGCTCCAGGCGATCGAGAATCGTCTGCTCATTCGTCGGTTGGTGTTCGAGCGGCTGCTCTACAGCGAGATGGGCGAGTTCGAGAAGCTCCGCACGCTCGACATCGAATATCGCATCTCTGCCGACATCAGCCAGGCACCCCGCCCCCCTACTCTTATTACCCCCGCCCCCGCGCGTCGACTGACGTTCAATTGGTGTGTGCGATTGTGTGCCGTGGTTGTGTGTGCGCGTGCGCGTGCGCGTGCGCGTGCGTGTGCGTGTGGTGTGTGTGTGTGGTGCGTGCGTGCGTGCGTGCTGTGCGTGTGCGTGTGCGTGTGCGTGTGTGTATGTGTGCGTGTTGTTTGTTGTTGTGACCCGATCCAGACGCTGAGCTTCTTCTCGTTCACGCTGCCGCAAATCGTGGGGTCGGTCTATGCGCTCATGCGGGAGGGCTTCGAGCTCTACAAGCACCGCCAGCACGTCGACCCCCTCGCCCTCGCCCACCCCGTCCTCATCGGTACGGCCTCGCATTGCTCTTCTCCCGGCCGAACGCACTTTAACGTGTGTCGTGTGCCTCGCGTGTGTCGTGCGCGTGTGTCGTGTGTCGTTTGGTTGTGTGACCAGGCGTGGTGCGCAAGGTGATGGGCTACTTCAAGTACCACTTCATCGAGAAGCGGCAGCGGGACGTCATCCAAAAGACCCGCAACAAGATGTCCCGCCTCGTGTCCAACGCCCTCGACGGCCTCGCCGACATTCAGGTGTGCTGCCCCCTGCCCCCTATCATCTTCGATCACGCACGCGCGCGTGTCGCGTGTGTCGTGTCGTTGGTCGTGTCGCTGGCAACTCACGGATCGTGGGCGTGCAGGTCAACAACCTGCAGAAGCACCAGCTGCACCTGCTGGACCAGATGATCCGCACGGAGCTGGCCAACTCGCTGGGCTTCAAGACCCTCGTGGCGCGCACCTGGAACCTCTTCTCCAACCGCAACGCCCTCGAGTTCGTCGCCGAGGTCTACGTCGTGCACCAAGTACGCACCCCTCCCCCCCACCAATCGCCATCGCCATCAGCTGATTGTGCGAATTGCGCGATGTAGGTGATGCAACGGCAGCAGATCAGCCACGAGGTGTACGGCAAGATTCAGCACGACATCCACCGCGTCTTGTACGACACACACACACACGACACACACGACACACACACACGAATCAATCGCCCCTTTCGTACCAACGCGCACTCACTCTCTGGTGGTGGTGGTGGGGGGGCTTGCAGCCAATTGCTGAAGCGTGTGTACGGGTTGTTCCGGATCACGCGCAACATGCTCGAGTTCCAGAAGGAGGTCATCGAGCTCGTCAACATCCCCAATTTCCTCGAAGAGCACAAAAAGTTCAACGTGTACTCGTTCCCCCCCCCATCCATCGTGTTGTGTGTCGTGTGTCGTTGGTCGTGTGTCGTGTCGTGTCGTGTGCTGAGTGTGCTCTATGTGGTGGTGGGGGGGGGCAGGGAGGTGACGGAGTTCAAGGAGCTGCGGGTGGAGAACATCCACTTTTCGTACAAGGCCGACCTGTCGCCGGCCCTGTGCTTCCACGGGGAGCTGGTGTTCGAGCCCGGCAAGCAGTACGCCATCGTCGGCCAGAACCGCTCCGGCAAGTCCACCCTCTGCAAGCTCATCTGCAAGCTCTACCAGCCCGACTCTGGGTACACTCCCCCCCCCATCGCACACGTACCACCGCACACACGGCACACACTGATTCTGTGTGCCGTGGGTCATGTGTGTGCTGTGTGTGCTGTGTGTGCGGTGTGTGCCGTGTGTGCGGCAGGTCGTTGACGTTGAACGGGGTTCCGTATTCGCGGATCTCGCGGATCTCGCTGCGGGACTACATCTCGTACCTCTCGCAGAAGCCCTTCCTCTTCCCCGGCACCATCCGCGACAACATCCGCATCGGCAACCCCAACGCCACCGAAGAACAGAGTACCGTCTTGTCTTGTCTGACTGCGCGCCTCACATTTCAATCGCCGCTCCGCCTCGTCTCACTGCCGTGCGTGTCGTGTCGTGTTGTGTCGCACGCGCACACGCACACGCACACGCAGTCTACGAGGCAGCAGAGATGGCGGGCGTGTTCGCCTACGGCGCGGCGCCGTCGAACGAGGGCGTCACGGCGGCCGGGCTCCGACGTACGGTGTCCATGAACGACATCGCCCGCCGCCAGCGCGAATCGCGCGCCTCGTCCGTCGAGGCCATGGCCGCCAGTGAGGCCACCGCCGCCACGCCCCTCTCCAACTCGGGCTCGGCCGCCATCCCCTCCGCCTCGACTGCCGCCATGGACAGCCCGGCGACGACGCCGGCGGCGGCGGCGGCGTCGACCAGCCGAGACTCCCTGTCGCCCCCGGCCGCGGGCGCCGGCGCTGCATCGGTGGCTCCGCGCCGCCCGCGCACGGGGACGGGCACGGTGCTGCTGGGCCGCGCGGCCACCATCGCCCAACTGCCCATCCCGATCAACCTCGCCGATGAAGTACGCACACGCTCCCCCGCCGTGCGCGTCGTGTGCGGTGTGCGCCGTGTGCGTGTGCTAACTTCACGGGGGCGGGAATGAGCAGAAGGAGTTGGAGAGCGAGGGATCGTCGTCGTCCGTGGGCTCGCCGCCGGCTTCGCCTCACCTCGAGGAGGAGCTCGACGCGCACGAGGAGGAGCCCCACCCACACGACGACGACCACGACGACCACGACGAAGAACAGGCACGACCAACGACACATACAACGACACGACACACAGCGACACACACAGCGACACTAACGGGGGCGATGGGGTTGATCAGACGGAGAGCCTGCTGCATCGGGCGGTGAACTTTGTGTGGGAGGCGGAGACGGACTACCACAGCAGCGCGGCGAAGAAGAAGCAGAAGAAGCAGAAGAAGAAGAGCGTCACCATCCGCGAGGACCCGTTCGGCCCCGGCGGCTGGGCCGAGGGACGCGCTGGCGGCAAGTCAGTGAGCGAGGCCGCCATTCTCGACATGAAGGTCACCGCCCGCGGCAACAACATCAGCGGCGGCTTCGCACAGGTCCGTGTTCTGTCGTGTGTCGTGTCGTGTTTCAATGGAACTCAAACGTGTGTGTGTGGTGCGGTGTAGAGCATTGCGTTGGCGCGCGTGTTCGTGAAGACGCAGGCCAAGATCATCATCCTGGACGAGGCGCTCGGGCAGATGGACGCCTACAAGAAGCGGGGCATGGTGGTGCCCGCCCTCACCCGCTTCGTCAAGAAGTGGAACATGACCCTCATCATCATCTCCCACGACATGGTCTCCATCGAAGGTGCGTCCGCCCAACCTCCACCCTTTTTATCTGTCTTTTGTTTTTTATTCTTCTTATATTTTTATCTATTCTTATTCTATTTGTTTTTTGTCCTTTTTACTACTTATTGAGATTCCATTTTATTTCAGGCACATTAATGTAATGATTCCGCGTGTGCGTGTGCGTGTGTTGTGTGTGGTGCGTGCGGCAGGAGTGCACAAGATCTATGTGCTGCATATGGGGGAGCTGGTGCATCAGGGCTCGCACCAGGAGCTGCTCGAGCAGAAGGCGCCGCTCTACCTGCAGCTGCTGGGCATCGACGACCCCGACGCGCCCGTCTCGCCGGTCCCCTCGCCCGCCCACTCCCTCTCGCCCTCCCCCTCCTACAACTCGCTGGCCTCCCTCCCCCGCTCCTACTCCTCCGCCGCCGCCGCCTCGGCCTCCTCGTCGTCGCCGTCTTCTCTGACCAACTTTCCCTCTCTCGCCCTCTCCCCTCGCGGCCCGCCACCGCCCGGCCAGTAAACGTTCCCTTTGCAAAGGGAAAAAGAAAGGAAACCCCAATTTTCGGCGTAAATGGACTGAGAAAATAGAATGTAGAAGAAAAATACAGAAAAAAAAACAATCTAATTGCAACAAAAGAACAAGAAAGATGCGGCTGCTACACAGAGACATTGATCGGGATGGGGTAGGCACGATTACCCTCTTGCCCGAGGAACTGGAGGACATGTGGCATGCATACAATCTCATCGCCGTTGGTGATCACGTGCGCGCGACCACCCTCAGGTACCGAGTATTGCCTCATGTTCGCATCTTCTTCATTCGATTTTTCTTGTTGCATCTACTTTCTCGAGAATGCCGGCCCCAAGCCATCATCGTTGATTGTGATGATGGATGTTGTTTTCGCGCGAGGGCAGGAAGGTACAGCAAAGCTCGAGCACGGGTTCGGTGAAGAACGAACGCGTGCGGCTCACTCTCACCATCGCCGTCGAAAACATCGACTTCGAGGCCGAGGCCGGCGTCCTCCGACTCAAGGGCACCAACGTCTCCGAGAGCCAGCACGTCAAGGTAGGCCCCTTCGTCTTCTTCTCCGCCCCTTCCATGCTCGGCTTACGGTCGTGTGCGGCGCGTGCGTGTCGTGTCGTGTGGGTCTAGATGGGGGCGTACCACACGATCGATCTGGAGATGAACAGGAAGTTCACGCTGCAGAAGACCGAGTGGGACGCCATCGCGCTGGAGCGGGTGGAGACGGCCACCAATCCCGCGCGAACGGCGGACGTGGCGGCGGTGATCATGGCCGAGGGCCTGGCCCAGGTGTGCCTCATCACCTCGAGCATGACCATCGTGCGCCAGCGCGTCGAGTCCACCATCCCGCGCAAGCGCAAGGGCTCCGCTTCGCTCCACGACAAGGTCCCGCCCCACGTCTCCCTCTATCCCTCATGCGAGAGACATTGCTCACATTCCTCGACGACACGGCTAACGTTCACCATACTATGTGTTTTTATATGACATATATATATATATATCATATCAGGCGTTGAACAAGTTCTACGAGAACGTGATGCAGGGTATCTTGCGACACGTCAATTTTGAGATCATCAAGTGCGTCATCATCGCCAGCCCCGGCTTCGTCCGCGAACAGTTCTTCGAGTACATGAACGGTGAGCCCCCGCCCCCTCATTCTTCCATCAAGCGGGTCCCCAAACCACACACGACACACACACGCGCGCTTTCTCTGCTGACTTACGCTCATCGGTGGGTGGACTCTCCAATTTTCTAGCCGAGGCCATCAGGCGTGACATCAAGTTGCTCATCGAGCACAAGAGCAAGTTCGTGCTCGTCCACTCCTCGTCGGGCCACAAGCACTCGCTCAAGGAGGTATCCGCCGCCCGCCCCCCACACCACCACGCGGTGCACATTCAGAGCCGAGCCGAGCCGAGCCGAGCAGACAGCTTAAGAGTGACGTGTCACCCAGGTGCTCTCCGACCCGAACGTGGCGCCGCGGCTCGCCGAAACGAAGGCGGCCGGCGAGGTCAAGGCCCTCGACGAATTCTTTGAGATGATGCGCAACGACTCCGACAGGGCCTTCTACGGCTACAACGTACCCACCCATCAATTCTTAGCTCATAGAGCCCTATGCAGCGCGATCCGTGTGTAGATCGCTGACGCGATGATCGATCGTCGATGTTGATGTGATGTTGATGATGATGATGATGCAGGACATCGTGATCGCGGACTCGCGCATGGCGGTGCAGTCCCTTCTGCTCACGGACGAGCTGTTCCGCGCCTCGAACATCGCCACGCGCAAGAAGTACGTCCAGCTGGTCGAGTCAGTTCGCGAGCACGGCGGCGACGTCAAGATCTGCTCCGCGCTCCACGTCTCCGGCGAGCGTACGTCCTCAGGCCTCCACGGCGTGTCGTGCGTGTCGTGCGTGTCGTGCTCACGCTGGCGTGTGTTCTCCTCTGCAGAGCTGAAGCAGTTGGGCGGCGTGGCGGCGGTGCTCCGGTTTCCGCTGCCCGACGTGGGCGGAGACGAGGAGAGCGAAGAGGAGGAGGAAGGCGCCGACAAGGACGGCCAGTCCTCCTCGTCCGAAGCCGAGCCCAAGCCCTGAGCCGGTGCTGTCGCCGCTTTGGCTGCGGCGAGAAATAAAGAAGAAAACCACAAATAATGGAAAGAAAGTTTTTTTTTGGTTGTTCATCTTTGTTCGAACGAAGGCGGCATCTGCAGCGCATCACCATCTCGCACATATGGAAATGGAAGGTACTGAGCTCGTATGAGCACAATTGCCTTGAGCATGAATTACAATCGCAAGCTAGAGATTTCAATCAATCTTGGCCTTCATGATTCATCTGATTGATAGTCCGATTACAACGGAGGCAGCGCAGTGTATGCGTGGGGCTGATTTCATCTTCCTTTCCTTGTGTCGGGTCGGGTGTGTGCGCAGCTGAAGCGACCACAACCACAACCCCGGCCGTGCCCCCCGCCGCCACCGAGGGCAGCACCAGCAGTGGCGAGACGAAGAAGAAGCCGGTGGTGTGCATCGTGATCGGCATGGCCGGCAGCGGCAAGACCACCCTCATGCAGCGACTCAACGCGCACCTGCACATGCAGAAGCAGCCGCCCTACGTCATCAACCTGGACCCGGCCACGGCCAGCATCCCGTTCGGCACCAACATCGACATCCGCGACACGGTCAAGTACAAGGAGGTCATGAAGCAGTACAGCCTCGGACCCAACGGCGGCATCATGACCGCGCTCAACCTCTTCGCCACCCGCTTCGACCAGGTCCTCCACCTCCTCGAGAAGCGAAGCGACCAGCTCCAGTACACATTCGCCTGCTCTGCGATTGATTGCTGATTGGCTGCTGACTTTGTGTATCGTGTCGTGTGTCGTGTGCGTGTCGTGTCGTGTCGCGTAGGCACGTGCTGGTGGACACGCCGGGGCAGATCGAGGTGTTCACGTGGTCGGCCTCGGGCGCGATCATCGCTGAGTCGCTGGCGTCGTCGTTCGCGACGGTGATCGTCTACGTGATGGACACGCCGCGATGCGCCAGCCCGCAGACGTTCATGTCCAACATGCTCTACGCGTGCAGCATCCTGTACAAGTTCAAGCTGCCCTTCATCATCGTCTTCAACAAGACCGACGTGCTGAGCCACCACTTCGCCATCGACTGGATGAAGGACTTCGAGGCCTTCCAGGACGCGCTCGCCAACGACACCAACTACATGTCCAACCTGGTCCGCTCCATGAGCCTCGTCCTCGAGGAATTCTACTCCTCGCTTCGGGTACGCGCGCGCGTGTGCGGTTGGGCGTGTGCGGTTCTATGATTGCGTGTGCGTGTGCGGTTCTGACGTCGTGGTCGCGCAACAGGCGGTGGGCGTGTCGGCCGTGACTGGCGCGGGCGCCGACGAACTCTTCGAGGCCGTGGACGCGGCGGCGGACGAGTATTGGAAGTACGGCGGCCACCATCAATCAATCACCACCACGCTGGCGTCTGGTGTGGAGCGACCCACTGACGACATCGCTTTCTCTTTTCTTCTCTCTTTTTCTCCGCTCTGGCCCACCACGACCACAGGGACTACAGGCCCGAGCTGCTGAAGAAGGTGCAGCAGAAGGAGGAGAAGGAGAAGCGGAAACAGGAGAAGCACATGGCGCGCCTGGAGAAGGACCTGCTCGAGGCCAAGGGCGGCAAGGTGGTCCTCGACGCCTCTCGAGTGCCCCGGCCCGACGACGACGGTACACACGTGCTACACACCACCGCACACGCACACTCACTCCGCGTACTATGTGGTCCCACCACCAGACGAGGAGTTTGATCAAGACGAGGCGGAGGAGTACGAGGCGCTGATCCGACAGATACGAGAGGACAAGAAGGAGGAAGAAGCGTGAGGTCTTGCAATACACGTGTATTGTAGCTCCGGCCTGATCTCGGCAGTGCGAAAAAACGGGGATTGGTGGAGAGCAACACGCTGAATTTCGTTGAAATAAGCCACCACTTGATGCTAAACTCCGTCAGCTTTGCTTAGCAACGAAGCGTACACAGGCTGCTTGTGGAGCTCTACACACAATCCAGAATACAAATTAAGGCCTCCATTGCCTTAGATACACCCTCTTCTCCTTCTCTCATCTGCGCATTCCTCGACGGCAACCGCGCGAGAGAGATTATCCCATCTTCGTCGAACGAGAAACGATTGCAGTGCGCCACTCTTAATCGATCGAAGATGCACAAAGTATTTGGAAGGAGCAAGACCAAGGACATGTCGCACAAGGTGCTTCAGAAGTCCCTCACCCATGCCGAGAAGCTTAGATCGGTGCGCCTGAACGAGAATCCCGCAATGGACGACTTTGAGAAAGTGCGCACCCTAGGTACGGCGACTCTCCCATCATCCTTTTACTCTCATAATCGTATCCCCCTTTGCACGAGGCTTTGGGCATTCACTTCAATCATTTGGGTTGGCCTGCTTGGTGCTTCCATAGAATAACATTGAATGCTCGAGCTTTTGGCGAGCTCTCCATTCAATCTGCAGCTTCATTCATTGTGGGCTGTGGTGTCTGCAGGAACGGGCACGTTCGGGCGGGTGTACCTGGTGAGGCACAAAGAGACGGGCAAGTTTTACGCACTCAAGGTCCTGCGCAAGATGGACGTGGTGCGCCTCAAGCAGGTAGATCACATCAAAAACGAAAAGAACATTCTACTCGAGCTCAATCACCCCTTCATCGTCACCCTGTACGTTATTGCTACCTGTTGCCGACTCCCCCCTTCACTCGCTACTCGATTGATTTTTCCTCTTTCTTGCTCTCCTGTGTGTTCATCATCATTTTCTTTTTGGTATGTGTTGTGTGTGTGGCATGGATGTGCAGCTACGCGACGTGGCAAGATGAGACGAATCTGTACATGTTGATGGACTACGTCATCGGCGGCGAGCTGTTCAGCTACCTGCGCCGAGCGGGCCGCTTCGCCAACGACACGGCGCGCATGTACGCCGCGATGGTGGTGATGGCGCTCGAGCACCTCCACGCCAAGAACATCCTCTACCGCGACCTCAAGCCCGAGAACCTGCTCATAGACAAGCACGGCTACCTCAAGATCTGCGACTTTGGCTTCGCCAAGCACGTCGAGGACCGGACGTGGACCCTGTGCGGCACGCCCGAGTACCTCGCGCCCGAGATCATCCAGAGCAAGGGCCACGGCAAGGCCGTCGACTGGTGGGCGCTCGGCGTGCTCCTGTTCGAGATGCTCGCCGGCTACCCGCCCTTCTTCGACGACAACCCGTTCGGCGTCTACGAGAAGATCCTCGCCGGCCGCATCCACTTCCCGAGCCACTTTGACCCCGACGCCAAGGACCTCGTGCGGAAGCTGCTCGCCGCCGACCGCACGCAGCGGCTGGGCAACCTCAAGGGCGGCGCCGAAGACGTCAAGAACCACCCCTACTTCCAGTCCATCGACTGGCAGCAGCTGCTCGAGGCCAAGATGCGGGCCCCGATCGTCGTGCGGTCCAAGGGCGAGGGCGACGCCTCCAACTTCGAGACCTACGACGAAATCGAAGACCAGCCCGTCAGCGTCGACCCCTTCAAGTTCATCTTCAAGGACTTCTAGAACATCGTCGTCGTCGTCAGCACCACCATCGCCACCACGCCACGCATACTTCACCACCACCGCACACGGATGCTCCCCGCCCTCCGTCGTCGTCGTCGTTGCCGCACGCACGCACGCACTCACACGCGCGCGACTCGTTGCACGCACACGCCACCGCCGCTCCGTGGCGGACGTCGTAGCTTCTATTCTCTCTGTGTAGATAACTTTTAAAAGAAATAACAAAATAGGACCTGCTGGGCCCCCCCCCCAGGCGTGTTGCGTGTTCTCTTTCTTGTCGGGCCGATAACGATCGGTTTGCGGTTCACAGCCGAGTGTCGTTCTCTAGAACTCGTCGTCGTCCTGCGCGAAGAGCGCACCTCCCTCCATGGCCTCGCCGTCGTCCACCTCCTCGATCTGCTCCTTGGGCGGCCGCAGCACCGGCGGGATATCGTTCTGATGCGAATGGTGAGTGTTGCGTTGTAAAAAGAAAAAAAAAGAGAAGAAAGGTGGTGGTGGCGTACGTCGAGGCGGTGCTTGAGCGTCTCCACGAGCGTACGGATGGCCGGCAGCGTCTTGGTGTGCGTGAGCATGCGCTCGCGGAGGTCCTCGTGGATCTGGAACCTGCGTTGGCCCAACAATCGTCAGCACATGGCACGACACGACACACACGACTGAAGAAGAAGAAGAAGGAGCACGCACTGCTTCTTGAGGAGTTTGCAGAGGTGGGCGCGGATGCTCTTGGGCTGGGTGGGGTAGGCCTCGCACATGTCGAGGTATTCGATGGCGAGGGCCACCTTGTCCGGCACCTGGCCCGAGAACAGGGCCGGGTTGTTCAGGGCCGCCCACGCCGCCATCACGCCCTCGCACCGCGTCGCCTCCAGGCACGGCTCGATGTCTTCGAACTGCGCGATGTTTCCGTTGGCGATCACCGGAATCGCCAGCGCCTCCCTGTCGTTCGCCGCCATCACGTGAGTGCGACGACAGGACACGACACGCGCACGACACGACACGCGCACGACAGGACACATGAAGCGCGTACTTGACGATGCGGATGGAGTCCCAGTCGGCGGGGGTGCAGTAGAGGCCCTTGTTGTCCCGCGTGCGGCCGTGGACGGCGAGCAGCTGGCAGCCGGCGTCCTGCAGCATGCGGGCCAGCTGGAGGGTGTCGTCCAGCGACGGGAGCAGCCGGATCTTGCAGAACACCGGCACCTTCAGGTTCTCGTACAGCTTACGCACTGCACACAGAGATTATTATTGTTATTGTTATTAGTATTATTTCGTTTTCCAAAACAAAAATAGAAAAATTATACAAAAAAGCAATAAATACATAAATAAATAATAAATAATACCAAATAAATGTAATGTAGGTAATGTACCCATGGCGTAGAGGAGGGGCCAGTAGCACTTGTCGAGGAGGAAAGACCCGTAGTTGCCCCGCTTGGCGATGCCCTGCGGACAGCCCAGGTTCACTGCACACGACAGACGACACGACACGACACACACGACACACAAGGACACACAACGACACTCGGTGAATGCTTCTTCATGAGAAGCAGAAGCAGAGAGGGCGGAGGGCAGCTGGGCGGGGCACGTACGGTCGACGGCGTCGCAGTCGTTCTCGACGAACTTGGCGGCCTTCAGCAGCACCTCCGGATCGTTGCCGCAGAACTACCACCCACCCACCACCCCACCACACACGAACGAAACGAAAACGAAAAACGAAAAACGTTCAGTTGGTGGCGGCAGCGGCTTTGAAACGATGGACTATTATGAGGCCTGGGGTGGTGGGTACCTGCACCACGAGCGGCCGATCTTCGGGGCACGTGGAGAACTCCATCTGTCTGAAACACGCGACGACGACGGACGTGTGGTGAGACGGTGTTTTCTATTGTTGTGTGTGTGTGGTGTGTTGTGTGTGTGTGTGTGTGTGTGTGGAGCAGAACGCTCGAGACGTGGTAAAACCATACCGGTACTTGGCCTCCTCGGCGAACAAGCGCGAGTGGTACATGGGCGTGTAGCACAGCTCGGCGCCGTACTTGCGGCACAGCATACGAAACGGCAGCTCGCTCATGTCCACCTTTTTTTATTTTAATATATATATATATTTAGGGTAAAAAACAAATAAATCATTTATTTATTTAATCAACTTTAATCAACTTTATAAATGAATGAATAGAGGGGGCTGTACCATGGGCGCGAGGACGAGCCGGGGTCGGCGGAGGACCGCTGTGTAGAAGGTGAAGGGATCGGCGGCGCCAGGCTGGGGCCGTACGCGCGGAGCGGAGAGGGTGAAGCCGCCCTGCCATTGGGTGGCCAGCTCTTCTGCCAGGCGCGAGGCGCGGGCCACGACCTCCTCGCGATCTTCTCTCACATGGAGGGACGGCGAGACTCCGTCGGCAGCCGATGATGATGATTGCGGCTGCTTCTGATTAGTATCGCCATCCTCGGTCACAACAACAATTTTCGCCTCTGTTGTTCCGCTGGGCACGGGAGCTTCCATCTTTTTGCGACCTGATCTCGTGAGGATGGCGATGATGCAAACAACACTTTCCTGTTTCCGCTCTTTTTCTCGAAACGTTTTGATATTTACGAAACACATTTCGCTTTCCGGAAATCGTGCTGTCTCTGTTGGGCGCTGCTAGCACCTTCTCGAAGCTTCACGATGATGTCAGGCCGTGACCTGGGCCGTTTCTGTCTGATCGATCGTAACATTACAATCAAGAACGACACTGTTGACACCATCTCGTACAATGCAAGACTTGACCGTGAACAACGAGGTTCGGATCCCGAGCTACCCCTTCAAGGTGGTGCTACTGGGCGATGGCGGGACTGGCAAGACCACCTTCGTTAAGCGATTCATCCAGGAACCCTCGCCGCGCAAGTGGGTACCCAACATCAGCGTCGATATTAATGTGCTGCGCTTCGACACAGCGCACGGCAAGATCGCTCTCAACGTGTGGGACACCGGTACATTCGCTTCGCTCTCTTTGTTTCTCTCGCCCGGCTTCGTTCTATGTCCCCCAGATCGAACCACCTGACACTCAGTTCCGTTTGATGTCAGCTGGCCAGGAGAAGTACGGCAGCCTGCGTGATGGGTACCTCATGATGGCCGACGCCGCGATCATCCTGTTCGACGTCACCGCTCGCCTCACTTACCGTAGCGTACCGCGGTGGTACGCCGGTACACAACACTCCCTTTGGGTGTAAAGTTGCACTTTCCCTACAGCTCATGGGTTGATGTCGATGGGCAGACGTGCGTAGGGTGTGCGGGGAGAAGACGCCGGTGGTGATCTGCGGCAACAAGGTCGACCTCAAGGACCAACGCAGGGTGAAGCCCAAGCAGATCACCTTCCACCGCAAGAAGAACCTGCCCTACTTTGACATCTCGGCCAAGTCCAACTACAACCTCGGTACCACAATCAAATTGAACCGCTGCTTCGCATGGACTGGCATCTCACACACGACATGATCGTGCGTACTGCTTGCAGAGAAACCGTTCCTCTTCGTGTGCCGTCGGCTGACGAACGACCCAAAGCTGGAGTTCACGGCCGAGCCCTCCCTCCTGCCGCCCGAGACCGAGATCGACAGGGCCGCCCAGGACGAGAACGAGGCTCTGCTCGAGACCGCACGCAACCAGGCCCTGCCCGAAGAAGACGATGATGACCTGTTCTAAGCGTGCGGGCGATGAAGACTCGTTGAGTTGTAGACACCAATGCAATGAAGACATTGCGGTTTCTCTTTCACTAAGCCCGACAAAAGCTTCTAGAATATCGTCACTACCAGATAAAGAAACCTGGTAGTAATTAACTATCTGTGAGAACAACATGTCCGATCACACAGTGCAAGGCGGGGACGATAGCACGACGCCGAGCTTCAAGGTGGTGCTTGTCGGCGACAACAGTACGGGCAAGACCACCCTCGTGAAGCGACGCGTCACCGGCGAGTTGGAACGCAAGTACTACATTCCAACCCTCGGCACCGAGGTCCAGCCACTGGCCTTCGACACCACGCGCGGCAAGGTCATCCTCAACATATGGGACTCCGGTACATTCCTTCTCTCTTTGCTCGCCCGCTTCGCTTCTCTCTTTGCCCAGCGTAACAAAAAAAAACAAAAAAAAACAATAACAATAATAACAAGAAAAAAAAAACAACTAACTTTATGGCAGTTGGTGGGGAGAAGCCTGGGCTCTTGCGAGAGGGGCATTACATCGGGGCCGACGCCGCCATCATTCTGTTCGACGTCACCAATCGCTTCTCCTACCGCAGGGTGCCCCTGTGGTACGCCGGTACGCAGCCCCTCACGCCAACATGCTTTTGCGTTCTCGTCGTACAAACCTGAATGTGCGTGTGCGGTGGTGTGTGCGTGTGCGTGTGCGTGTGCGTGTGCGTGTGCGTGTGCGTGTGCGTGTGCGTGTGCGTGTGCGTGTTTTTAACCAGGCATTAGCCGTCTGTGCGGAGAGGCAATTCCGGTGGTGCTCTGTGGAAACAAGGTCGACCTCAAGGACCAACGCCAGGTGAAGCCCAAGCAGATCACCTTCCACCGCAAGAAGAACCTGCCCTACTTCGACATCTCGGCCAAGTCCAACTACAACCTCGGTACGCCCGCTCACACCATCATTCTGGGCTTAGTCATGTAAGTCACACGACACGCACGACACGTGCAGAGAAACTGTTCCTCTTCGTGTGCCGTCGGCTGATGAACGACGCGCAGCTGGTCTTCACGCAAGAGCCGGCGCTCCTGCCGCCCGAAACGCAGATCGACAGGGCCGCCCAGGACGAGATCGAAGCTCTGCTCCAGGCCGCACTCCACCAGCCCCTGCCCGACGATGAGATTGATGAGGGCGAGGTGTAGAGAACAATAAATTACTAGTTTTCTCTATTTTCTTTCCTCTTTTCCCTCAGCTCACGCAGGAAGGTGACGAAGAAGAGGAAGAGGAAGAGGCGGCGGGGGCCAGGAAGTGGAGGGGTAGAGGGGAGAGGCGACGGCCGGTGGCGGAGGAGAGGGTGAGCCACGACAGGCGGTGGTAGTCACGCCCGACCTCGCGCAGCACCGCCTCGGCCTGGTGCTGCTGCGGCTCTCCGCTCCACTGCAAGTCCGTCAGCGCCACCAGCGAGATCTGCACAAGAAAGAGAAAAGTCAGCTGTGTGTTGTGTCGTGCGTGTGCGTGTCGTGCGTGTGCGTGTGCGGTTGATCGGCGTACTACGAGGGTGGCGGTGTCGGCGGCCCACCGCACGTGGAATTGGCTGAGGGAGGGGTTCAACAGGGCGACCGAGGCCATCGGGGCCGCTGCCGTCGGGTCGGCCAAAGCTCCGACACTGCCCGGCGCTGGTGGCGGCCGCGGCAGCAGGTACTGCACCGACGCGCGTGTGTCACACACACTCGCATGAGCCAACAACACGACACACGCACACGCATCACCGCACACGCACACGCACACAACATGACCAGCGACACGTACAGAGTTGCCGAGGTGAAGCGATGACGAGGTGCGCCAGGCGTCGAAGAGTTCGAGTTCGAGCGAGCGGTGGGCGTGGGTCGACACCTCGACCGGCGGATCGCCGTCGCTGCCGCCCTGGGACGACGAGCCCTGGGACGCGGAGGCGGAGAGGTCGGGCAGGAGGTCGCTGCCCAGGGCCGGGAGCAGGTGGAGGTGCGGGTGCGGCGTGACCTGCACGACCGCGACCGACGCCACACGCGCTCGCCCCGCTCGGGAGCCGCCCGCACGCCACGACGCCACCAGCCCCTCCCACTCTGCCAAAATAGCACCACGGAAACAGTGAGTGCGGTGCGTGCGGTGTGTGCGTGCGGCGTGTGCGTGCGGTGCGTACCCTGGGCTTCGGCGGCGGCGAGTTGGCCGAGCTTTCCGATGACGATCCGCCACGTTGCCGACACTCGCGCTCTGCGGGGGAGAAATACATCAGATTAGAAGAAGGGGGGGGGGCGCAGGAAACCCCCCTGAAGGTTCAGGGAAATTGCATAGTCTGCGTATGTACATGGCCATGAGGGCGCACTGCCACAGCTGGGCCAGGGCGTGGGTCGAGTCCAGGTAGAGCGACTGGCGCATCTCGCCGCGCGCGTCGGTCAGGGTGGCGATGACCAGCAACGGCACCTGCGGCGTGGAGCTCGAGGAGTAGGCCACGTGGAGCACGAACGTGGTCGAGGCATCGGGCTCGGGCGCGGCCAGCACGTACACCGGCTCGTACAGCTTCTCGCTCTGCCAAACGAAAACGAAACGAGCCAAACGAAAACGAAAAAAACGAAACGAAACGAAACAATAATAAAATAAAAGAAATGATTAATTTGGGCGCGGGAAGTGTGGTGTGATGGAGGCGCTGAGAGGTGTACCGAATGAGGAGAGCTCATGCGCCGACACTTGGAGAACACGGAGAAGGCCAGGTCCCTCAGGCTCGGCCCCGTCCTACCACACACACACACACACGACACACACACGACACACACACACACACACACACACCAACGTTAAGAGCGCTTATCGTCGTCGGCCAGACGGGCGGTGGGGCTGTCTCGGTACCAGGGCTCGAGGAGCAGGGCCGTGGGCAGGATCTGGAAGGCGATGTTGAGGTGGGGCAGGTCCTTGGCGGCCCGCAGCAGGGGCACCGCGCAACGCAGCAGCTCCTGCGGCGCGGTCGGCGCGGCCCCCGCCGGGGCCAACGGACCCGGGTCGACAACGTACACCACCACCGAGCCCTCCGCTTGCCTGCACGTGCCATTTATAAGAATATTAATAAATACTAATAAAAATAATAGACTTGGGTGGTGAGCGTATACGTCTGGTAGGAGCCGGAGCGCCATTGGCGTAGCAGCTCCTGGGCCAGGTCCTTGGCCGCCTTGCGGTAGGATCGCATCGCCGCTTCCACGTCGGACAACTCCACCCTAATAAGAAAAAAATGGGGGGGGGAACAGAGAGTTGTTAGCTGTGCGCGGAGTGCCGTGCGTGTCGTGTGTGTGTGTGTCGTGTGTGCGTGTGTGTGTCGTGCTTTAGCGGGTGCATACCAGCGGATGTTGTCCTCGATGGCGGGCTCGTGGGCACCGAGGTTGGCGGTCTGGTAGGCCGCCGTCAGATCGCGCAGAAAGCCCGGCAGCGCCCGGCTCATCAGCGGGTCGTTGGGCACCAGCGCGTAGAACGCCACGTTCTTCCTGCGAACGCGCCCCGAACACGATTGACAACTTTCAGCGTCGTTGCTCGAAGCGGAGAACTGTGTCGTGTGCCGTGTGCCGTGTGCCGTGTGCCGTGTGCCGTGTGTCGTGTGTCGTGTGTCGTGTGTCGTGTGTCGTGTGTCGTGTGTCGTGTGTGTGGTGTGCGTGCGTGGTGTGTGTGGTGTGCGCTTGGTGTGCGTGCGTCACCTGGGGGCGTAGGGTTCGAGCAGGGCCTTTTCCCATAGGCGGATGGCGGTTGGCGGGATGTTGAGCCATTCGTCCCGGAAGCCCACCACCAGCGACGGGGGCGCCAACTCCTCCAGCTCCGCCCGCTCCTCCTCTATACGGTATGTGAGGCAGAGCGCGCAATGATGACGTCAGCTACACACACACACACACACACAACACACACACACACACTGCGCGACGTACGGTTCCACTGGGCGAGACTGAGCGGGCCGACCACGCTGAGGCCGCCGGTGGCGAACGAGTCCGCCTCCACCGCGTGGTGCTGGAGCTGGTGCTGTGTGTGACCGTTGAGCGCCTGGCCGACGGTGGCGAGGGCGTGCATGAGGCCCTCGGCCGTGAGCTGCGACCTGGCCTGCGCCGCCACGGCCCTGTCCTTGCTGTACTGCTGCACCAGCGCGAAGAGCGGGTCGACTTCGGCGCCGTCCAATGTAGTGTCGGCATCGCCGCCGCTCGAGCGTCGCAGCGCGGAAGAGGCGTTGTTCGCCGGCGTCGGCATGAACCAGGCCGTCGACGGGCCACCGCCGGAGCCGGAGCCGACGGAGCCGCCGGAGTCGTCGAGCAGGGACAGGCCCGACGGGCTGATGCCCAGGAAGAGCATGTCGAACGTCGAGCTGCACTGTTGGGCCAGGAATGCGAAGAAAATTAGTGGAAAATGAAGGCAATGGAATGTGGGTGGAATGCGCATTGGTGGTGGGGAGATACCTGCTGCATGACGACCTCGCGGACGATCAGCGCGTCGAGCTCCGGCCCGATGTCGTCGATCTCCTCGGTGAGTCGGGCCTTGGGCTCGGCTTCGTCGGCCTCGCTCAGCGAGGTCGAGCTGGAGCTCACAAACCCGTTCGACTTGATTCGATGCATCTCCGTCAGCGACACGACCCGACCAACGACACGACACGCACGACAAGACACACACGCAACACACGACGAACCTTGGGAGAAAGGAGGTCGTCCACTTCGGATTTGAGGAGCGGAGTAGAGGAGAGCGCTGCGGAGGCCGCGGCCGACCAAGTGGCGGCGGCGGCGGTGGCCGTCGTCGCAGAAGTGGAAGGAGTAGAGGAAGAGGTGATGGCCGAAGAAGAAGACGAAGAAGACGACGATTCGGAGATGCGCTTCCACCAGCGGAAGCTGAGCGGCGGCGCGGGCGATGGCGAATCGACTCGGGCGGAGGGCGACAGCTGCGACGTCGGACGGTACGAATAGCGCGCGTTCGGCGGCGTCGGCGGGATCGGCAGCGGAGAATAGCCCGTGGGCCACACATGCAACAGCAGCCGCTCACCCGCCTGCTTGAGCGTGTGTGCGGTGGTGCGTGTCGTGCGGTGGCGTGCGTGTGCGGTGAATAAATTGTGAAGTGCGCATCAGTGGATGTGAGGCGCTTGTGCGCACCTGATCCGGCTGGGTGGACGACGGCTCCTCAAGTGAGGCGATGACGTCAGCCTCGGAGATCGACGTGGGCGTGGTGGCAGCAGCGGCCAGGGGCGAGGGCGCCGACGAGCTCATGCTTATGCCGGTCAGGATCATCGCGTCTTCGGGTCCACCGCCTTCGAGCAGCGCCGCGGCCGCGGCCGCCGTGGCGTCCCTCGCCGCCGCCGCGCCGGCGTCGGCGAACTGGTCGAAGGGCGACGCCAGCGCGCCGGGCGCCATCACTGTCGCCATCGGCTCGGGCTTGACCGCCGGCTCCGGCGGCATAATGGCCGCAGCCGCGACCGCCGCCGCCGCCGCCGCCGCCGCATTCGCCGAGTCCTGCACGCGCGTTCAACCATTTGTGTGGGTTTCACTGAACGACACGACACGACCAACGACACGACACGCAGAGGCGAACCTCGGTGGAGAGGGAGCGGATGAGAGATTCGAAGTCGATGTCGATGTCGTTGGAGTCGTCGTTGAGGAGATACCATGCGTCGTCCTCCTTGCCGGCCTTGGTGGCGGCCGCGGCTGGTGGCGGCACCGGTACTGGAGCAGCGGCGGCGGCGGCGGGTTCGTCCTTGACCAGTGCGGCCGCGTCGGGCAGCGGCGAGGCGGTCGTCACCGCCGGCGAAAGAATGCCGCCCGTCGGCGACGCATACAGCGGCCCGCCCAGCGGCGAAGGTTCCTGTCAAGCGCATTAGTCGCTGTGTGTCGTGTCGTCGGTCGTGTCTCGTGTCTCGTGTCGTTGGTCGTGTTGCGTGTCGTGTCGTGTCGTGGCAGGACAGGGACCTGTGGGCGTGAGCGTTTGGCGGAGCGGGAGTCGCCCACGACGTCGGCAAAGGGAGAGAGCAGGGACGCGTCGGTTGCGCGCGTGCGCTTGCCCGCGAGCCGGTCCTCGAGCGAGTCCAACCCGGCGCCCTCCATGTCCATCGCGTCCTGCGCGCTGGCGGGCGACGTCAGCGCACTGCTCGCCCACGGACGCGGCGCTGTCCATTCCTCCCTTCAAAACGCATCAAGTTAATAACACGACACACGACACACACACGCACCCAGAGGAGCGCGCGACACACTCACGACACACACGGGGAGGAAGTACTCTTCGGAGGCCGAGGCGTTGAAGCCGAGTTGATCGATCAGCACTTGGGCGAGAAAATCTGACGACGACACCGCGTGCGGCGTGCTGTGCTCCGAGTCCGAGTGTCGTGCGGCTCGCGAGACGGCGGCACCTCCGATCTGTCGTCGCGCGTGGCGTGACGTCGTCGCCGCACCGTCGAACCGAGACCGTTCATCTTCTGCATCGCGTGCGGTTGTGTACGTGTGCGGCGGGTGCGCGCGCGTGCGGTGGTGAGTGCGGTGCGCGTGCGTCGTGAGCTGATTGCGGTGCGGACCCAGCGAACGGGTGAGGCGTACCTTCGGGGCTGGAGCTGCGCAGGTTGAGTGAGCGGGCGGCAGCGCGGACCCCAACGCTGCAGTAGAAGCCCAGGCGATCGCCGTAGCTGAACGCCTCGATGCGGCACACGATCGCCGACGAGGCAGCGCTCGCGCCGTCCCTCCGCGCGGGCAGCAACGACGGACATACGAAGCCGTCCTCCGTGCGCTCGAATCCCTTCGTAACCAGCCGCCTGTGTGTCGTGTCGTGTCGTTGGTCGTGTTGTGTCGTGTCGTGTCGTGTCGTGTCGTGTCGTGTCGTGTCGTGTCGTGTCGTGCCGTGCCGTGCCGTGCCGTGTATGAGCGTTGGTGGTGCGTGAGAGGATGGGGGAAAGGCAGGGATTTTTCACCCTTCCAAGAGTCGTTGGAGGCTGACGACGAGCCGCTCCGTTGCCTGGTCGTCACTATCACCTCCCCACATGCCCCGTTCATCCTCTGCGCCACGTTACAGCTCAAGTGTCAATGCAACACGACACACGACACGCACACGACACGCACACGACACACACACACACACACACAACCACGCACACGCACACGCACGCAACAGGTACCCTGCAGGGAGACAAAGGGGTGGAGCATGGCGTGGTGGAGGAAGCCCTCGAGCAGCGTCGGGGCGCCAAAGACCCAGAGCCGCGGGACCGTGATCGAGGTGGGCAGCTGCACACCATCGTCGTCGTCGCCGCCGCCGTCGTCATTCTCGCCGGCGACCAGCATGGAGGCGGCCACGTCCTCTTCGCTGTGGTGCTCGAACAGGGCCGGGAAGCCGGCGGCGAGGAGCACCGCGAGCGCGGCCTGCAGCGCGTCGGCGGGTCCGGTCCATCGCCGCCACTCCAGCTCCCTGCGCCCTTCTCCCCTCCGCTCCTGCAGCCCCTCCTGTTTTTTTGTTTTTTTGTTTTTTTTTTGATTAATGGATGATTTAATTGATTAATGTTTGTCAAGGGTTGGTGAATGAAAGGATTCGAATCAATCATCATTAAATGGGACTAGAAGGGACAAAGAGCAAAAGAATCATCGATCACAGAAGCGTGGCGCGCTGGCATTGCGGAGCACAGGCGAACAAATTTAAATCGCCATCAAGACGAATAGAATGGAATGGAGGGGTACCACGAGGAAGATGTTGGTGAGGACTGGCATTGCCGAGGCGAAGAAGCTCGCACGAGTGGAAGAGATCGAAGGCGGCACGGATGGCAACAAAGATCTTGTGCTCGAAAAATACAAAAGAAAGTAAAACAAAAAATAAAAGGCCGAGAAAATCCTTCAAACAATTACCAAACAAAACACTGGTGCAGGCTGGAAGATCAGCAGATCATGACAAGAAGAGCAACGTTTGTCTGAGATTGAGCGAAGATTTAGACATCATGAGGTGCCGCGTTGGGACAACCTCGCCCCTTCTCGTGCTCTTCTTTGTGGCATTGCACGCTGCAGCAATCTTCCTCTTCCTGAATGGGTTCTTCCTCACGCGATACGAGATCCAGACGCGTAGCCAATGCACGCAGCGACCCTCTTCCAGCTCTGAATCTGGCCTCGCAAATCGCAGTAGGAAAGATTGTGCTGATGAAATGATCTCGCAACACGATGCCCCAGGCATGGGGGTGCCCTCGCACGAGAGGTCCTGTTGGATGCCACGTCGATTCAAGCGCGCCCTGTTCGTGATTGTTGATGCACTGCGATTCGATTTCACCCTCTACACGCGACCATCGCCATCTGCCAAGGGAGCCAGCGTAGCAGCTGCCGCCGACATCGATGCAGACCTGCAAGACGACTACTACGTCAACAACCTGCCCGTGATCAACGATCTGCTACTCAACAACGCCAGCAACACCTTGCTCTTTCGATTCGTGGCTGACGCGCCCACCACGACTCTGCAGCGGCTCAAGGCCCTCAACACGGGCGGCATCCCCACCTTTCTCGAGGCCAAGAACAACTTTGACTCGTCCGAGCTCAGCGAAGACAACCTCATCCTCCAGCTACGCGACAATGGGCGAGGCGCGGTCTTCATGGGCGACGACACCTGGGCCAAGCTCTTCCCGCCTCACAAGCGCTACTTCACCCGCAGCCACCCGTTCCCGTCGTTCAACGTCAAGGACCTGCACACGGTGGACGACGGCGTCATGCGGCACCTGTTCCCCGAGATGCGCAACGAGCCCGCAGCCGGTGCGTACTTTCATTCTTTGTGCGCCTCTGCGTTCGCGTTTCGTTCTTGTTCTTTTTCGCTTTCGCTTTCGTTCTTTTTGAATTGTGATGGGCGACTCACCATCTTGTGATCAGAGGGCGAAGAGGGCTGGGAGGTGATCGTAGCGCACTTCCTCGGTGTGGATCACGCCGGCCATCGCTTCGGGCCTTCCCATCCACAGATGCGACAAAAGCTACGACAGATGAACGGCATTCTGCAACAGGTTAGCGCGCATCGTCTCTTGACATCTCGTCTCCTCCATGTCAGTTCGGATTGTGGTCATGGTTTGACGTGTGCGTCGTGTGTGCCGTGTGTCACCAGATTGTGGAGGCCATGGAAGATGACACCATCCTATTCGTCATGGGCGACCATGGCATGACCGCCGACGGTAATCACGGCGGCCACACCGAAAGCGAAGTGACGGCGGCTCTGTTCGTCTACACCCCGTCGACGACCTTCAACCGGTGGGACCAGCTCCACCTCGGGGAGGACATCAAGGACGTCTTCACCGGCAGCGAGCTCGGCGAGGAGCTCAAGGATGCGCTCCTCCGGGAACGAGCCACCGGCGCACCCGCGGCCGCCAAGCAGCCGGCCAGGCCGGAGGGGGTGGTGCTGACCAAGGACCACTTCAGGCAGGTGTCCCAGATCGACGTCGTGCCCACGATCGCGCTGCTCCTCGGCCTGCCCATCCCCTTCGGCAATCTGGGCGGCGTCATTCCCGAACTCTTCCTCGGTACACGACACGACACGACACGACACGACACGACACGACACGACACGACACGACACACAGATCTGCTGACGTGGTTCGTGTTTGTGGCTTTGCCAGGGATTGCGCCGCCGGCGTACTATGGGTTCGAGCGCGACGACATGGAGCAGCTGCGTCGACAGGGTGACAAGGCCGGCCACGGCGACGAAGACGACCCGGCGCTCGATAGCGAGGAGGGCCTGTTCTTCGAGTACCTCGAGCGCAAGTGGGGCGCCAAGGCCCACCTCTACCACGACGAGGGCGGTGGCGAAGATGGGCTGTCGCTGGCCAGCCTGCAGCAGTGGCTCGCCGGCTACGAGCGCCTCAACGCCGCGATGGAGGTCAACTCGCTCCAGATTGACGCCTACCTTTCGGCCTACGCCGACGTGTCGCCCTCGTTCCCCTCGCGCGAGGTCGACAGCCTGCGCCGCCACTTGACCCGCGCCAACGCCATGCTGCGCGCCCTGTCAGGGCCATCGTCATCGTCGGCCGACTCTGGCGATGAGGGCGCCGCGACCACGTCGGCAGAGGCGGCGACGGCGGCGGGTCGCAGGGCGGCGATGGCCGAGCGGGTGAGGCAGCACCACCGGGTCTTCAAGCACTACCACCGCTTCCAGAAGCAGGTGGGCGATATCTGCCGACGGCTGTGGGCCACGTTCGACGTGGAGTCGATGACCTGGGGGCTGGCCCTGCTCTTCGCCTCTATCGGCGGCCTCGTCTGCGTCATTCTCGCCTCGTCGCGCCCTGGGGGGCAGTCGGCGACGGCGACGGTCTCGTTCGATTTCTCGTTCGCCCTCGCCGGCGGCGCGGTGGGCGCGGTCCTCGTCTTTTGCTTCGTCGCCGACGCATTCCACAACATTCCAGCGCTGGTGGGCGCGACCCTCATCTGCTCCGTCATCGGTTTCGCCTTCGTTCCACTCTTCTTTTCTTTCTTCTTCACCGCCTCCGCCTCCGCTTCTTCCTTCTCTATGTCGTCGTCATCGCGACCTTCGCTGCGCGCGCTCGTGAGTCGGCTGGCCGAGCGTCGACGGGCCGACGTGCTGTCCGCGGTGGCCGTGGCCCTATTCGCGCTCCACGGCATCGGCCTGTTCAGCAATTCGTTCATCGAGGCCGAGCACCAGGTCATCTCCTTCCTGCTGACCTCGCTCCTCCTGTGCTATCTCGCCGCCGCCTGGCGTCGTCGCCATCACCACCACCATCAACGTCAACGTCGTCACCTCCGCCCAGCAGCAGCGGGAGCGCAGTACGGCGACGTGGTGAAGCTGGTGGTGCTCCTGTGCGTCATCCGCTTCAGCCCTTCGATCGTCGGCCGCCACGAATCCGTTGCCGGCGACACGGCGCCCGGCGGACTGCAGGACGAGGAGGACGCCTTCCCTCCGCCCATCGTCGTACGACCATGCCCGCTCTCGCCCGACCGTTCCGAGGCTATGAGCTCACACCTGGGCGTGTGCGTGTGCGGGACAGGAACCGATGGAGGCGTCGCAGGTGCGTGCGGTTTCGCCCGAAAGCGGAGACCTGGTCTGGCAGGGCGTCCAGTTCTTCTTCTCCGCCCAGTTCGCGTGGGACACCCTCGTGCCGCTCGCCATCATGCTCTTCACTTTCACCCTCGCCCTCCGCCGCTTCTTTTCCCTCTCTTCATCTCCTTCTTCATCTTCTTCTTCTTCATCATCCTCTTCGTCTCGGCCCTCGCTCCTGCCGGCCGGCGAGCTCTTCGCGCTCCACGCCGTCTCGCTCCTGTGCTCGGCCGTCTATTGGACCTTCCAGCGCCTGGCCCTCCTCGACCACTTCGTCTACTTGTGGAAGATACTCTTCCCCCGCCTCGTCTACGCCGCCTCTCTCGCCTCCCTCGTTCTCCTCCTCGCCCTCCTCTTCCACCGACGCCGGCGACGACGGCACCACCGCGGCGGCGATAGTGACCACCCTCCGGGTCCGGTGGTGATGGCGGGGGCGCCGGAGCTGCAGGGGACGTTCATGGTGCTGGGCATGGTCGTGTGCGTGCCGGTCATGCTGGTCTTCGGCCCCGGCTCCTGCTGGACCTTCGTGTCGTTCCTCTGTGCGCCGCTCCTCTTCGTCGACGTCAGCGCGCGGATGAAAGCGGCCGACGACGCCGAAGAAGAAGAAGAAGGCGACATCAACGGTAACCATAACTACGATGACGACTCGGTCAAGGCCGGCAAGGCGGATAGAGCTGGCGCCGTTCGACAGCGCGTCAAGACGTCGGCCGCTGTGAGCGACCATCTGGTGGACATCCCGCGACCTGAAGAGCGAAGAGGGAAGCAGCCAGGGCGCCGGCAGCAGCTGTCGTTGGGCGTGTCGGAGGTGATCGTGTGGGTCTTCTTCGCCGTGCTCCTCTTCTACAAGTCGGGCCACCTGTGCGACTTCTCCTCCCTCCAGTTCGAAGCTCCCTTCATCGGTATGCGACTCTTTTCTTTACACGCAGACACACACACGACACACACGACACACACACAACACACACAACATCAAGAAGCTGAACCCAGTACACGCGCGCGTGTAGGGTTCGAGGAGATGAACATGATCGTGGGCGCCGTGTTGATGGTGCTCAACACGTTCGGGTGCTACTTCCTCTTTGTCCTCTTCCTCCCGCTACTTCTCTTCTGGTCCAACGACGACGACGACAACAGACGCGTGGAGCGAAGGTTCGCGCGCGAGGAGGTCAGGGCGTGGACGCTACGCGCGGTGTGGATGTTCATGCTGGCCTTCGTGGTGAAGCTCTTCCTCACGACCCTCTTCGTCTTCCTCGTGCGACGCCACCTCATGGTGTGGAAGGTCTTCGCGCCTAAGTACGTGTTCGACGCCTCGGCCACGGCCATCGCCGATCTGCTCCTCGTCCTCCTCTACCTCTTCGTCTACGTCTTCATCTGAAGGCAAGAAGAGCGGGACACGAGATGACAGGAAACAAGGATTGTTTATAGAGAGAGTGTAGAGTGCAGAACCTTTCGCATGTAGGGATGATGAAAGGAGAAGAAGAGGAGGTGATGTGTATGTGGCTGCCGCGTGCTCTAGCGTGCTCCATTGTCGTCTTGCCGACTTGGCAAAATTTACAGTTGAATCTTGAAATCGAGTCCTGAAATGTCCAGATTGCCGAGATCGGGACCCCTAGGGGCAGCTCCAGGCACCATGCCCGCAGTCTTCTGCACCATCTCAGCCTGCGATGGATGAAAAATCATCAAATGAGTGATGTCACACGATCTGCTGGATCGGATCACTTGCTCATGCACCGTGCAGATAATCTGCCAATGCTAAAGATCGCGTACCCTAATAGCCCTGATGGTTTCGCGATCACTGTCCATGGCTCGGAGAAGGGGGAGGTAGATGACGACGGCAGCCGTGGCGAAGATCCACGCGAAGGAGCTCACGTAGCCAAGGCCCTGCTGGGCGTACATCGAGGCCGCATACAGTCCATTACTCCAGGTGTTTGCCACTCGCCGCACGGGCTCGGGAAGCCCAATGGATCCGAAGAATCCCTTCTTCTGCGGCTGCTTCAACTCTTCAATGTTCAGTCTCACCATTGTGTCTCTGTTGTTCGAAGATGATGATGCGTCGATCGCGGCGGAGAGAGGACAAACGCTGGCCTCTTCCTCGAACAGAGAGGACTGCAGTCAGGTCGAAATTCTATGTGGAGTAGAAATTAAAAGGAAATCATTTTCTTGACTACAAATAACTGTTTATTTGGTGATAAAAAATAAATAATGGACATCTTCGAGTCGGCAGATGCGACGTCGGAGTCGACGATGGAAGTTGTTGAAGGTCGGCGCATCAGACGGGGCTGATGCTGATGCTCTTGCGGGAGCTCTTCCGCGACTTCTTGCCCCTCTTCTTGATCTTCTTGCCCCATTTCTTGGGCATCTTGATCATCTTCTTCTTGACCTTCTTCCGCCGGTCGGCGCAGCACGACGCGCAGGGCCACATGACGAGCCACACGATGCAGCCCACCAGGCTCACGATGAGCGTGAACGGCCAGAGGATGATGAGGCAAACGAAGTAGACCAGGTCGTACAGCGCCAACCCGCATATGCAGGCTCGCGTGCAGATGCAGCACATCTTTGTGTTGTTTTCGCCGCCGGCTCTGGGTGGTGATGGTCAAGGCCGGGAGAGGAGAAGAGAGTGGTGTGTACAGCTCTGGGTGTGGGTGCGACAAGTGGTCAGGCGCTGCTGCCGGTGGTCTTGAAGGTGTCTCGGCGTCGTAGAGACCGCAACGGGCCGACCAACCACGTCGCGCTGCTTAGCGGAGACCACGTTCACCCTGGTGGGTGCGTTCTCGTCACCCTGCGGCGTTGGTGGTGCGTCACCGGTTCAAGTTCAATTCAAACCTGCACCAATCGCGCGACGCGACCTTTGTCCGTCTACCGCCCGTGGGCGTCGTCACGTTCACACCACTTTCCCTTGTCAAGTCTTGTTGTGGCGGGCCGACCCTGCACCCTAGCTAATTTTTGGCCCTACTCCACAAGTTGAAAAAAGCAATTTTAATAAGCGAAAAAGGCTGCAAACAAGAAAAAATGCAACTACGAAGAAAGAACAGAGAAAATAAGTCCTTTTGAGGTGTTTTGAGCGAATTACAGAGGGCACCTCCGGCCGACGCACTGCCCGCCAGCTGGCACATCACAAGTTATCAATTTCGTGAATTTTGGTTTTCGCGGAATTGTTTTTTTTTCTTTGTTGGCTTGGGCACGGAAAAGTCGGGCTGCACGATAACGCGGAGGGAGAAGGACGACAAAGTTGTTAGTGAGCAAAGAGAGAAGGACATGGAGTGCCCAATCTGCCAGGCGTCGTTTCCACCCACCGAGATCACGTCCCACGTGGATCGCTGCCTCGAAGGCGATGTAGCTGCCACCACGACTTCTTCTTCATCATCATCGACGGGAGGAGACGGCATGGACGTGAGCAATACGCCCTTCACATCTCGCCAGGCTCCTTCGGCTGGCGGCACGAATCGTGAAGAACCCAAGCCCCTGCTACTCGATTTGGATTTTAGTAGTACGCCCATTACTACTACCCCCATCACTCCTGCGCCCGCCACGGGCGGCAGTGCCCCATCTTCGAGCCTCCTCTGGTGGGAGCAGATGGGCCAGGAAGAAGAGAAGCCATCATCGTCGAGTAGTACTCCAATGGAAGAAGGATCGAAGAAAGATGGTGATGGCGCAGATGAAAAGATGGCGCTCGAAGTAGAGCAGGGAGGTGAAGGTGGTGCGAAGCTGGGCGATGAAGAAGACGAGCTGGCGCGCATGCAGGCCGAAGCGCTACGTTTCTGGGAGAGGAAGCGGCAGCAGGAGGAAGAGGACATGCGCGTGGCCCGCCTGCTCGAAGAGGAGCTCAAGGACGCCCCCGCCCCCGCCCCCGCTCCCGCCCCTGCCCCTGCCCCCATCACCCCCGCTCCCGTGCCCACGCCCGCCAGTCCCAACAAGCGGCCCTACCCGACCGGTACGCTCGACTTTAACGTGGCTGCGTGGGTGTCAAGCCGAGCCGATTGGCTGATTGCGTACGTGTGTGTGTGCGCGCGCGAACAGACCCCAAGCCCAGGCCGCAAGTCGGCGGCCTCTCCGATTCGCAGCTGGCGCGGCAGCTGGACGAGGAGGAGCGGAAGCGCGAGGAGGAGGACCGGCGGCTGGCCGAGGAGCTGTGGAAGCGCGAGGAGGAAGAGGAGCGCGAGCGCAAGAAGCGGAAGGAGTGGGAGGAGACCCTCACTCTCGTGCGCACCCAGGCTAAGGCCGAGAGCGACGAAGAGCTAGGTCAGTGCCCCTCGTTGTGTGTCCTGTGTTGTGTGTGGTGTGGTGTGGTGTGGTGTGTCTTGCGCGTGCGTGTGTGTCGTTCTGACTTTGTGTTGCCAACACAGCGCGAGCGCTCAAGGAGAGGGAGGACCTGATGCGCGAGTTGGAGCGGCTCAAGGCGCAAGCGGAGATGAACGCCATGCTGCCCGACGCCGGCGGAGACACGCACGTGTCCCTCACGCTCGACGGCATCGAATACCCCGAACGCGTACGACCCCACCACCCTCCCTCTCGACATCCCAACCACCCTCACACGCCGCCGTACCATCGATGTGTTGCGTGTTGTGGCGTTGCAGTGGGAGAACCAAAAGGGCGAGTACCAGACGTTCGACGTGAAGAAGGGCTCCGAGGAGTGGAACGAAATCGAGACCCACTTCCAGAACTCGCTCGGCGGTACGCACGCACGCGCGCGCTTGGTCTTGCATCGCATGGTGGACGCGTGGCATCGACAGACCACTGTGTCACTGCTGCTGACATGGTACCATGGTGGTCGTGTGCTGATGCCACCTGTCCAGGTATTGGGGCGCACATCACGCGAATCGAGCGCAACCAGAACAAGTCGCAGTGGATGTTCTACTACCTGCGACGCCAGCAGGTCGCGCTGAAGAACAAGAAGGACCCCAACGAGAAGTACCTCTTCCACGGCTCGCGCGTCGGCGCCTACGAGATCATCCGTACGGCAACACAACACAACACCACACACACACCACACACCTCCTGTACCTTCAACTCGCGCAACTCACGCTCCTTGTCTGTGTGTCGCTGTACAGTCAAGGACGGCTTCGACCACCGGGTTGCGAACATGGGCGGCGCTATCGGCGCCGGGGTCTATTTTGCCACGCACGCCTCCACCTCCACCGGCTACGTCACAGGCGGCCATGCCAAGAAGGCACGCACAACCGCACAACCGCACAACCGCACAACCGCACAACCGCACAACCGCACAACCGCACAACCGCACAACCGCACAACCGCACAACCGCACACACGAGAGTGGTAGACTGACGATCAGTCCTGGCCATGAGCAGATGTTGTACTGTCGTGTGACCCTAGGCTCGGTGGGCACGGGCAAGTCCGGCATCAGGCGGCCGCCCGAGAAGCGAGGCGGTGGCCTGCACGATTCCGTCGGGCAGGTCCACGGGGGCAACGGCATGTATGTGGGTACGAATCCCCCCCACTCTCTTACGCCTCGCTGCCGATGCTCACGTTGGCGTGTGTCGTGTGTGTCACGACGTGCAGTGTTCGACAATCATCAGGCATTCCCCGAGTACACCATCCACTACCGGTAGTCGTCCTTGATCGACGTGTACATAGACAGCCATCCTTGGCCTGCCCGCCCGACCACCTGCTAAGGCACCCCCCAACCACCACTGGGCAGGAGCAGCTTTATGTCGACAGCAGTGGGAGGTTTTTGTGGTATCTTTGTTATTTTCAACAATTTGTCTAAGTCTTGTGTCTGGGGTGGGTAATGAATGACAGACTTTTTGGATACATTTACAGATGATTTTGTGGCTATTTTATGCCCATTTTACAGATGATTTATATGGCCATAAAAATCATCTGTTGTCTGCAAAATCATCTGTCAAATGCAGATGACAGATGATTTTTATACCCATTTTGCAGATGATATGACAGACAACAGATGATTTTTTATGCAGGTGACAGATGATTTTGCAGACAACATATGATTTTTGTGCAGATGATTTTTATGGCCATTTTTGCAGATGACAGATGATTTTTTATGCAGATGATTTTGCAGACAACAGATGATTTTTTTTGCAGACAACAGATGATTTTTTATGCAGATGATTTTTATGCAGATGACAGATGATTTTTATGACAGATGATTTTTATGCAGATGACAGATGATTTTTATGACAGATGATTTTTATGCAGATGATTTTTTATGCAGATGACTTTGCAGATGACAGATGATTTTTTATGACAGATGACAGATGATTTTTTTTGCAGACAACAGATGATTTTTTATGCAGATGATTTTGCAGATGACAGATGACAGATGATTTTGCAGACAACAGATGATTTTTATGCAGATGACAGATGATTTTGCAGACAACAAATGATTTTTATGGCCATTTGGCAGATGACAGATGTTTTTTTATGCCCATTTTGCAGATGAAATTACAGACAACAGATGATTTTTATGCAGATGGCAGATGATTTTTTTGCCCATTTCATGACAGGTGATTTTTATGACCATTTTGCGGATGACAGATGATTTTTATGCCCATTTTGCAGATGATTTTAAAGGCAACAGAAGATGTTTATGCCCATTAGGCAGATGGCAGATGATGTTAGGTCCAAGTTTTAACTTGCAAGATAGGGTGCAGGTGGGTATACCAAAACCACCATGCACACAAACAGGATGATGTTGGTGTCACTGATGTGGTGTGACAGGTTCTGTGGCTTGGACACCAAAACCAGTGCATAAACACATGTCCTCATTTTGGTGTATTGGGCTCACTGTGTGGATGTGGTAATCAGTGGTGGCAGGGAAGTTGATGCTGGTGAGTAGGAAGCAGTAGAAGCAGGGATGCAGCAGCACCTTGTTCTCAGCCATTAGAGGGCTTGCAGGAATAGCTCAGATGTCATCCTTGTTGGCAGATGGTAGGGGAATGTGGGAGAGGTAGCAGGACATATGCCAAATCAACAGCAGAGGTGAAGGGCTATCACTCTTGCAGGGCAGCCCACCTCAACCTTGCTGCATCTGGGAGGCTGGCTAAGTAATGCCCAAGTGACTACACAACTCTCATATATTTGACTATTCAAACCCCATCCCCCTGCCTTGCCATAATCCAAGCATGGATGCTATGCTGAGAACAAGAATAATCATGTCTTTGCTTTCCTCAGCTTGCTCACAGCACTTGATGTGTTCAATGAGATTGTCTTCAGCTTCCTGATTGTAGGTCACACCCATAAAAACATTAATCAACTCTTCTCCCCAGTGCAGACCAAGTTCTGCTCTGCAAGTGTTCACACCCCTGCATGTCAAAGAAGAAAACTGTCCTGTAGCACCCTGGATTTGCACATGCCACTCTGCCAGCTCATCAACTCTGACCCTTCTATTCTCCTGGTCCTGGTGCAAATCAAGCACAGCCTCTGGTGGCCTTACCAGTTGTCTAAAGGGCCACCCTTCTTCAGGGTATGGAAAAAAGAAGAGCAAAGAAGTTCAAAAAACTGCTGACAACACCCCCCTGGACACAGCCTCACTCCCAGCCTTTGTCCTCCTTCCTTCCAACCAGCCTTGGCTGGAGCAGGTCAACAATTTTCTTTAATCCCCATTTCAGTGCACCAATGAAGTCACAAAAAAAGGAAGGAACCACCGCTGCCCCTTGCGCAACTGCCACAAGCGGGGCGGCTCTCTACTCAACCACCCAACAAAATGAAGATCGTCGCCTCGCTCGCACTCTCTGTGGCCGTCATCGTGGCTCTGCTGGCCCTCTCCTCGAACGCCAGCGACTTCTGCTCGGTGTGCCTCTACGACGTCGAGCTGGTCGAGATGTACCAGAAGAAGGGCCTCAACACCTCCCAGATCATGGACACCCTCTGGTACGACTGCGCCAACTTCAAGGGAAGTCGCGCCGACTGCAAGCGCTTCGCCTCCTTCTACGCACCCACTGTCGTCGAGTACCTCGCCGAGACCAACAGCTCCACCCAGGCCTGCGTCGACTACGGCTTCTGCGAGGAGGAGGCTAAGCTCGCCAACAACATGGTGAAGCTCAACTAAGCCACTTCCCCCCCCCCCTACACTGACGAACGTCAATCGATTAAATGACACGATCATAATCTGCAACGACCGTTAATCTCCAAAAGAAAAGAAAGAAAGGAAGAAGTGCAGAAGAAGGTGGTTGGGTTGGGTTGTCTCTGTCTTGTCTCTGACTTGTCTCTACAGTGGCATGTACAAGTGTGTAGGAGTGTGTAGGAGTGTCTGGAGAATGGTCACTGGAGGGGGATGACCTTGTACGGGTTGAGGATGAGCTGTGGGTCGAACGTCTCCTTGATGACGCGCATGTAGCGGATCGCCTGCTCGGGCTTGGAGTAGTGCAGACAGTCCCTCTTCATCAATCCCAACTGCAAGCCCCACCCGCATGTCAGTCACTCATTTGTTTGCTGTGTGCGGTGTGTGCGGTGTGTGCAGTGTGCGGTGTGTGCGTACCCCATGTTCGGCAGAGATGGAGCCGCCTTGTTTCGAGGTCCATTCATAGACGAAGGGCTCGATGAGACCGTGCACCTCGGCGTCGTACTTGGGCGTCACCATGTTCAAGTGCAGGTTCGCTGGTGGAGTTCAGCGACGCTGACAGTCAGCATCCGGCGGGGCTAAAAAAACTTTGAGAGTTTGATCGATACGGGCGTGCACGTACAGTCGCCAACGTGGCCATACGCGATGGTTTGCGCCTTGTCGCCGAGTCGCTCTCGCACCTCCGTGGCCAGGTCGTACATCTTGTTGATGGGGATCGACAAGTCGTACTTGTAGTTGAACCCGGCCCTGCGGCGTGCCACCAAGATGGATCAGTCACTATGGTGCGTGCACTGTGTGTGTGTGTGTGTGTGGTGCAAACGCTCGGGGGTACGCACTTGCTGCCGGCTTCGGCAAAGCTCTCTCGGATCTGCCACAAGGCGCGGAACTGTGTGGTGTCCTGTGCGACTGTACCGTCGGTCACCAGCCCTTCACCCATCGCTCTCTCCAAGAACCCATTCAATTTCTGCACGCGCATATGATCGTCAGCCAACGGGGGGAGAAGGAGGAGAAGAGAACAGCACCTCGGTGTCATGTGCCTCGTTGGAACCGTGCGTCTCAACGAGAATGTAGAACGGGCTGGGCGATGACAGCGGGTCGCGGATGTGGGGCAGCTGTTGCATCTCCAGCTCCATGGACTGCCGATCCCAAAATTCGAACGCTAAAGGCACAGCATGAGTCGTGTGTGTGTGTGTGTGTGTCACCTTACAACACAGCATCATGGGCGTAACGAGCTGTTGTACCTGAGAGAATTTCGCCTAGGTCCTGCTTGACCTCCACGAAGGCTTTCTGTACGGCTTCGAACGACGGCACGCTCAGCACAGCCACGTTTACCGACTATTCGTGCCACAAGAAACGTTGTGGATCAGTGGTACGCCCAAGGATCGAATATTCATCAGATAACATACACACCTTTGGTCGGGCAGGCGTCAGCAGCGACACGGCGGTGATGACGCCCAGCGAGCCCTCGCTGCCGATGAAGAGTTGCTTGAGATCGTAGCCCGTGTTGTCCTTTCGCAGTCCGTTCAAGCTGAATGAAGCGACTCGGTTGTTAGAACCAACGTTCAGAGGTCATCGACGGCGGATACTGGATAAACGAGCGAGCGAGCGAGCAGTGGGCCACACCTGTCAAGAATCGTGCCGTCGGGGAGGACCACTTGGAGGCCCAGCACGTTACCGTGCAGCGAACCGTAGCGCAGGAAACGAACGCCACCTGCGTTGGTCGCGACATTGCCTCCGATGTGGCAGCTGCGCCGCCGCAAAGGGGAATGAAGGAGGCGGTGAGTGAGTCGCGAGCGGATCAGCTGCCGGCAAAGGAGGGGTGAACCCCATTACCTTCCCTTAGCGCCGAGATCGAGGGGCATGGTGAATCCTTTCTCCTCGAGGTACTCGTCCAGGGTTTGCAGCACACATCCGGCCTGGCAGACGCGAGAGAGGTTTGAGGCTTCAAAACAACGCCTCGTCGCGTAGAGGAGGATGAGAAGAAGAAGAAGAAACCGGGAGCCGGTTGGCGTACCTCACAGGTCAGCACGCCCGATACGGGATCGAACGAAAGGACCTTGTTCATCTTGCTCATGGAGAGGATGATCTCTGTGTGTGCAAGGGAAATGTAGTGAGCACGAGTACAACACAAGTAGAGGCCGTAGAGCACGCAACGACGCAGTCCAGTCGCAACTCAAGGAGGGAATGGGCACCATCGTGCACGGGGACGGAACCACCCACGAGACCAGTATTGCCGCCCTGCGGGACCACTGCGAGCTTGCGCTCGTTGCAGTACTTGAGGATGCGCGCTACCTCCTCCACAGTGCGCGGCTGAAGTCCCAACCTGCACGCATGGATAATGATTGAATGAATGCGAAACGATTGAATGAGAAGAATGAGGAGGTCGTACTTGGAGTAGCCACGATACTTGTGGAGCCAATCTTCGTTGAGGGGAGCGAGGGCGTCGGGATCGGTCACCACAGAAGCCTGCGGATCGGCAACGATGCTCCTAAAATGCTGCACATCGCGCTCCTCGAGCTTGGCATAGCGTGCATCTCGCGGAGGCTTTTCCATCGATGCATACGACCGTCTGCTGCATGCCACTGTGGTCGAAGCAGCAACAGGTCGGTGCATCGACCAGATGGCGATTCGAGTAGCGGCAGATTTACCCGATCGCTGCGTGAGGAGCGAAGTCCCCGGCACCACTCCGCCAGAGCATGTGAAAGCAGATCGGGAGGTTGTAGCGCGTAGGGCCTTCATGATCCTCTGAAATAAAAAAAATTACAAAGATTGAAAAGGCGCCACACAAATTGTGAAGTCATTTCTCGGCCAAGCCCGGACCACCAGGACCTGGGGACATCACAACATCGGGTGTACACTCATTACGCGGCCTTATGAGAACTTTAGACGCGATGCGTCGAAAGGGTGAAACAGAAGAGACTTTCTCCCTCCACCTGGGCTGACCAATCACCTGCACGCCACAGCGCCATTGAAACCACCGCCCTGCCTGAATTGTTGTCTGCCCCCACCCAACTCGCTCACACCACACACCGCTTCAGCGGCTCCACCACTCCCATGTCCTGCCGCTGGTCGCGCGTAGCCGCCTTGCTGGCAGTCGTCACTGTCATCTGCTTCGCAACCGCCCAAGCCACCTTCCTCCCAGCAGGTTTCACCCCCCGCACGTCCTGAGTCGCTTCGCCGCCAACTGCTCGGGGGGGGGGGGTTCGGCCAGGCGTGCGCTATGAGGAAATAGAGTGCGACATTGTGGTGGCGGGAGGCAGCACTGCGGCCCTTGCGGCCTCCCTGGCCGCCGCGCGTACGGCGCCCGAGAAGAGAATATGCCTCCTCGAGTCGACCAACTGGCCTGGTATACCCTCTTCTTGCTTACTTTCTCTCTTTATTTCCACCACCCATATTCTCTTCTCTGACTGACACGGCTTTCCTCCACCAGGCGGGCAGCTGACCTCGTCGGCCGTGAGCGCGGTGGACTTTGGAACCCACAACGTTCATCCGGTCAATCAACCCAAGGCACGGCCACTTGGGTGCACCAAACGTGCTGACGCGATTGTTGATGGTGCTGACGTATACGTACCCCACCTCGCCTACAGGACTTTGCGGCGATGGTGGCCTCTCTTCCGGGCAACCCGGGCAAGTGCTGGGTCTCGCACTGGTGTACGTCGCCTTTTTAACTCCGGACGCCGTGTGCGGTCGTGCGTGTGCTGTCGTGCGACTTGGCTGATGACCTACCCGTCGCTTGCAGGCTACGAGCCGGCCGACTTACTGCACAAGTGGATCTTCCCCACCATCAACCAGACGAAGAACCTGCGCGTCTTTTACAACACCGTCGTCAAGAAGGCCTACACCGCCAAGGGTCCGCACGGCGACGAGGTCAAGTCCAGTACGTCACCCGCCTCAGAGCCACCGCAATGTAGCTTCTCACCACCATCACCTTACCTTACCAGTCTTGGCCGTGCAAAGAGTGCCCAAGGAGGAGAACGAAGCGTGGCGCAACCGCCTCTCTGAGGTCCCACCCCACCCCGGTGCGTGCGTGTGCCCTCGACGTCTTCTAATGTGTGCGTTGTGTGCGGTGCACAGGATCTGTTGGACTGGTACTCGCTGTACGAGTCGAAGACGTTCAACAAGAAGGCTCTGCACTTCTCGGCCCCGCTGTTCATCGAGGCCACCGAGTTTGGCGACCTGCTGGTGACGGCCGACGCCCCGTTCGCGCAGGGCATCGAGTACCCGTACGAGGACGACTACACCACCCTCGACTGCGGCCAGACCCACGTCTTCCCGCTCTACATGAGCATCGAGAAGGAGCCCGTCAAGCAGCCGCACTTCCCGCCTCCCCCCAGGGGTACGTCTCCCGATATATATATGGACCTACTCGTTAAGAATGTAACATGTGGAATATGTCAACAGGAATTAGCTATGAAATTCCTTCTCAGTTCAGCTGGGGCCGAATCTGGTCTTACCGCCGCTCCATCGGATTGGAAGGTACCAGCACCACCTCTGCATGAGACACGCACCGCACCCGCACCCGCGCACACGATCACTGTGGCGCATTCTCAGTTTGCTTTTGTGCGTCAAACCGCCCACAGGCCCGGAGAACGAGGCGCGCATCGGCGAGACTTCCAACCAGAACTGGGGACCTCCGCCCGGCAATGACTACAACCTCGTGCGGCATCTACCAGCCTGACATCGAGTTCCAACGGCTGGTTAACCAGGCGTAAGCCAACCATTGCGTGTGGTGTCGTGTGTGTGTGTCGTGGATGTGTTGAACGTGCAGGGCTACTTGTACCTGCCCACCCAGGAGGTGAAGGCACAGGCCAAGAACTGGCACGGAGGAATCAACATGACCTCCCTCGCCGACGCCGAGCTCACCGCCTTCGGCTGGTACACCTACTACTCTCAGCAGTGCAACAAGGTACTTAGCTGCACGCAGCACGCAACACACTATTGCACACGCACCCATCGCATGCCGTTTCCTGGGGTGTTGGTGGTGCGCAGACCCAGAAGCCCGAGGTGTGCGCACGCGTGGCGCTGGCGGCCTCGGTCGCCGGCACCGACCTGGGCCTCTCGAAGGTGCCCTACCTGCGCGAGTCGCGGCGCAGCATCGGTATCCACAACTTCCGCCTCATGTACGAGAACATGACCTCCCAGTACGTCCCCCCTAGCCCGTCATCGTCATCGTCATCGTCATCGTCATCGTCATCGCCATCGCCATCGCCTTGTCATCGCCACAACAATTAATTGACCTATCGCGCGGGCGTGGGTGTAGCGTGAATCCGACGGGCGTGGTGTTCGCCGACCGCGTGGCGATTGGCGAGTACTTTTACGCCGACATTCATCACATGGCCGACGGACTGTGCAAGTACCCGGCCTACCTGGGCGACCGCTCCATCAAGCCCTACTACGTCCCCTTCCGCGCTCTGGTACTTACTACACCTGGTCCGCTGTGTAGCTGCCACATTCTTCACAATCACTCACCACCATGCCACGCATTCCTGGACGCAGACCAATCGTGATTTTGGAAACATGCTGGTGGCCGGCAAGACCATGGCCCAGACGTTCAAGGCCAACGCCGCAACGCGCCTCCACCCTGTCGAGTGGACCACCGGTGAGCATTGCCTTGACCGTTTCTGAAATTCTTGAGCTGACCACCATCTTGACACTGCCGTGACCAGGTCTGGCGGCGGGTGTGGCAGCGGCGCTGATGAGCACCCACAGCATTCCGACCACCACCCAGCTCTACGAGAACAACATCAAACTGCTTCAGGAGACCATCTCGACTCAGGCCCCGCTCCAGTGGACCCTCTAGATCCTCTCTACTCGCGCTATATCGTGTGGTATTGCTACAAACGTTGTTCAAATCGCGCACTCACGCACCGCACACGTGAATGATGCCCTGGTGGCGGTGCACACGACGAGCGACTCGACGCGCGATGCAAAAAAGATGGGACCGGTGGGGAAGGTGGCGCGGCGTGTTGCGTCCTGCTCTCGGGATTGTTGGTGTCTGGCGAGCAGGCTGACCTGAATGGTGGGTACGTCGGGCGGCGGAGGCGCATTGCCCCCACCGCCCTGCGAAGAGTCGTAGTGCGGGTTGGTGGGCTGCGCGGAGCATTGACGAGCGTTGGCCGCTAGTCGTGTTCCGTGCGTGCAGGTTGTCGATGTTCGAAACGTTGTCGCGTTCGTTTTCTTTCCTCAGTGATTGGCTTGATGAGTAGTTGCTGATGTGCGAAGGAACACGCGTGCATTGGCGATGTGAGCTCTTCCGAGTGGGTTGATGGAAGTGAAGGGGCGGTTCCCAGCTCGTAGCTTCCCGTGGCCGGTCCCACTTGCAGCTAACCCCCAACCTACGCTCATGTACCCCGTCAGACACCAACTCAAAGACTATTGTGGTTGTGCACATGGCCATTCACTTCATATGTTGTTTTTCATTCTTGCCTTTTTCGCATTCAAAATAAATACAAAACTGCTTCACATTCCTCACCACTTTTTGGTTTCACTTTTTGTGTGTTTTCAGACAAGTCAATATTGCGACGTAGAGCAAGAGATGGAACAGCCCAAGGAGTCAAATCGAGGGCAGGCCGAGAATGAAGCGGGCCCGTTCCCAGTGAAGAAGGTGGTGCTGTCCAAGACCGGTATCGGCTACTTCGAACGGTATTCCTTCATCTCCTGATTCGTGTAAAACCCCCACTAATGGTGCACGTGGCGGCTAAAGGGAGGATGAGGTGGCAGGCGGGCAGCCATTCGAGTTGTTCTTCAAGAGCGGCGACATGAACGACGTCCTCAAGTCCCTCACTATGGTCGACCTCTCCAACAAGTCAGGTGCCGACCATTTCAAGAATTTTAATATTATTATATATTTACTTTTTTTAACCGCAATTTGTTTTGTTTAAACAAACCAACAACCAGCAGAGAACAAGGCCAAGGTGGGAGGAGGCTTGACGTTCGGCAAGGACCAGGGCAAGAGCACCATCCACTCCAGCTCGGACATCAGCGCTGTCGGCCAAGCCAGTATGCTCTGTCGCTTTACCATCACCTCTCCCACAACAGCGCACAACCGCAACTCAAACACGCCCACGCTCTCTCTGGTGGTGGGGCTGGCGCGCGCAGGTCTGGTGTCGTCGATCAGCTACGAGTCGACGCGGCCCTTCGACAAGCAGCTCGACGACCTCTCCATCTCGCTCAACGAGCACTCGTCCCTGCGCGACCTGCTCGGTCAGGTCAAGGGCACGCCCGTCCAGGTGGAGGTCCTCCGCCATGGCAAGCGCGACCTCGTCGAGGGCACCGTCATCGGTACACCTCCAACCACCGCACGCACGCACGCACGCGCGGCTACCGACGCAACGCACACGCCACGCGCGGAACAGGTCTGGAGAGGAAATCGCTGGTGCGTCCGAGTCGGCACGAGGCCTACTTCCTGGCGCTGCTGGTCGAGGGCAAGGCCGTGCAGTACTTCAACCTCGGCGCCGTGGTCAAGCTGCGGTTCATGAACGAGCTCATGCAGCAGGACCTGCGCCACCTCCTCACCATCCTCCTCCAGGTATAGCCCCTACCAACTGTCAATCGTGTAGTAGTATGTTAATGCGTGTTGCGTGTTGCGCGTTGCGTGCGGCAGGCGAAGAAGAAGGATCTCAAGTCCGTGACGGGCTACACGCGCGGCGGGGGCGATAAACGCAACATCCGGGCGTCGTACATCGTGGAGGCGCCTGTGTGGAAGACCACCTACCGCCTCCTCTTCAACACCAAGAGTGCGCACCTGGACCCCATGTCATGTTACAATGTAACACGTTGCACTAATCGCTTCATAACGACGATGGCTACAAACCAAACCAAACACCAAACACCAAACAGAGGAGGTGAAGTCGATCATCGAGGGCTGGGCGCTGGTGGACAACACGCAGAACGAGGACTGGCGCGGGGTGGAGCTGTCGCTGGTGTCGGGCGCGTCGAACTCGTTCATCTACGACCTCTACAACCCGCGCTACGCCGCTCGCACTGAGGCACGCCCCCCCAAACCCATACTGCCTCGCGGTCACTTGTGTCTGGCGGAGTCTCACGCCCGACGACAGATCGAGGTGGAGCAGGAGGAGACTCTGGCGCCGCCCACGCTCGAAGACGCCGTCGCCCAGCACGACGTGTCTGCCCTCGTTGAGGCCACTGCAACCAAAGATGAGAGTGCGTGTCATCGCGCTGGATTGCCAGCTGTTGTGTGTGTGTGTGTGTGTGGTGAGCTTTTCTCACAGTCGCGACCCCATTTAGGAAAGCCTATGCCAATCATGCGCGCCAAGGCTGAGAAGGAGAAGTGCAAGAAGAAGATGAAGAGTGCCGCGCGTACGCATAGCCCTCCCCCCCACAATATCGCCTTGTGGTCATCGGCCCCGATGACAGTTGGATGGGGTGCTAACACGTATGCGTCACACGTGGCCTGGTGGGGCGATGCAGCGATGATGAAGATGCAGTGCGCTGCTGCGCCCATGGCGTCGCGCGCTCGACAGAGCAGAAGAGAAATGGCACCGGAGGCGGAGATAGAGCACTGCTACGACGACGACGACGATGACGAAGAAGGGGGTTACGGAGGCACGAGTCCTGCTCCTCCCCCCGAAGAGTACGTCTTTTTCTTCTCTTTTCGTTCTTTTTTCGTTCTTTTTATTTGGTCTCGATCGTCCTCATGATTGCTCCAGGTTCTCGAGGACTACGGCATCGTCGTCGGTGGAGGTCAACTCCGAGGCCAAGAAGATGGAGATGGCCGACCTCTTCCAGTACAAGGTCCGCAGTGTATTTACCAACGTCGCACGATCACCAGTTGTTCATTCAGGCCATTACTACGTTTAAACAGATCACGAGCGCGGTGAACGTGAACCGCAACCAGTCAGCCCTCGTGCCCTTCCTCCACACCGAGTTCCACGGCGTCAAGGCCTCCGTCTACAACAAGGTACCCTCGCTACCTCTCTCATCTCCACGCCACGTCAGCGTGACGTGGCACCAGCCACTGGGCCTGACAGGGGTGTGGTGATGGGCAAAATGCGAAGAATGTGCGGGAGGACAACCCGCTGGCGGTGATCAAGTTCAAGAACACGTTCGGCGTGCCGCTCGAGTCGGGCCGCTGTGCCTGTTCGAGGACGACGTCTACGTGGGCGAGTCGATGCTGCCTCGGGTCAAGGTCAACGAGGAGATCTACGCGGCCTACGCCGTCGACCTCAAGACCACCGTCACCATGACCGACTCCTCCGAACGTATCCATTCGACCCTTCATATGTTTACATCATAGCACGCGCGAACGCACCTAATTGTGTGTGTGTGTGTATGTGTGTGTGTGGGTACCACTGCAGTGCGGGATGTGTACCAGGCCGACGCGGCCCAGTACGAGTGGGAGAAGGGTAGGCTCACTCTGCGGAGGTGGAAGGTGTATGAGTTCACCTACGTGGTTGACAACAAAAACGACCATGCCATCGACCACTTCTATCTCGAGGTTCGCACACTCTCTTTCACATTCTATTTTTTATTTTTATCTTCGAAAAGATATGAGTTCCTTCTAAATTGATGTATTTGTTTTTCCTTTGTCAGCATCCGAAGAGTGCGACGGAGTTGATCGAGACGCCGGAGCCCGATGAGCGCCTGGCCCACTTCTATCGCTTCAAGCTGGTGGTGCCCGCAAGGCAGGTCGTCAAATTCGTCGTCAAGTACGTCATCTAGCCAGCTCTTGGCTGGCTCTGCAAAGCCAAAATACCACCCGCTCACATCCGTCCCAATCGAACAGGGAGCAGGAGCAGAGCGACGAAACGTACCCGCTGGACTACACGGACAAGGCGCAAGCGGAGGAGTGGTTCGCCGCCGTACGGTTACCCTGGATCAGCAGTGGTGGTGTTGCATAACAACACAAAACACTGAGAAATGCAACGCACGTGGGACGTGGTGGTGCTACAGGGCTACATTCCGTCGGACGTCAAGAAGACGCTGGACGCGATCGTGAAGCGGGGGGAGAAGAGCGAGGAGTTCGAGCGTCAGATCACCACCCTGCACGATCACAAGTCGTCGCTCGAGGAGGACATCAACCGCATCGACCGCTGCCTCGGCTCCCTCGCACTCTCCGACAGCGGCTTCTATGCGTACGCACTACCGCACACGCGCACACGCACAGGCGCACATGACCAACGACACGACACGCATGGCACACGCGGCACGCGCGCACAACAGGGAACAGAGCAAGTTCAGGGACTTCTTCACGAAGGAGCTCAACGCGATCAAGACCGAGCACGCCAAGGTGGAGAAGCAGGTGGCCAAGCTCGAGAAGAAGAGCGAACGGAACGACGACAAGAAGGAGTCCCTCGCACAGGGCATCCGCTTCCTCAAGAAGATCCCCGCCAAGAGCACTGCCGCCGGCACCACCAAGAAGAACTAACCCTCACCTCGTCGTTCATTGTAGCGTCAAAGAGCGAACGCGAAAAAAGAAAGAAAGCGAAGAAAGGCATTTCTCAGCGCTGCCGCACCCTCTTCCTCCATCCTTTTCTTTTTGTCATCGACGCCGCACGAGTGGGATGGCGACCTTGGGGGCCACGCCGTGGTCCACAGCGAAAAGGGAGTCCGACGACGATGGGCTACTGCTGAGTGTGGAAGATGGCCTCGGGCCGAGCCGTCTGCAGAGCCTCGTCACCCTGTGCCTGGACTACATCGCCCTCCACCTGAGGTTCTACTCCCCTTCCCCCCCACCAGCTCACTCTAAACCAACAATTAACTTAATTTTTAAATTACTGTTATATTCTAGTTAAAAAAATATTGAATTAATTGTATTGTAGACCCAAGCACAGCCCTCTCGCGACGTCTGGCCCCGACGAGGCGGAGAGGACGAGCGCCCCAGAGAGCGATGATGAGGAAAAAGTGGAACGGGACATGCGCAGGTTGGCCGCGCTGCCGGGCGACCTCAAGGAGCGGCTGTGGGCGCTCATGATGCACCGCGGACAGCTTTCGCCCTTTGCCCGTACGTTCTTCCTCAACCTATGTTTGTGTGCGTGTGCGGTCGTGCGTGTGTGTGTGTGTGCGTGTGCGTGCAGCTGGCATGACGTGTGCCGAATCGACAATGATGCCTTTTTTATCTTCCTCAGTGGAGCTGTTCGTGGCCAATCGGGGCAGCTTCCGCTTTGGCGACTTTGCCTCGTTTGTCATCGGAGCCAAACCGCCATCGGCCGCCGCCACCGGAAGCCCCGACCACACGCAAAACTCCCAACCATTCATCACCGTTGGCGAACTCACCCGCATCGTCGACTCCACATGTCCCGAGCTAGACACCGTACGCTTCTTCTCTTTGTCATCTAGAAATTGCGATATATCGATTTATATATCGATTTACATTTCTATATATATATATTAACATGTAAAACATGACCAACAATACACAAATAGCTGGACTTGAACGGATGTGAAGGCCTGCGCGACGAACAGTTGAGCCTTCTCCTATTCAACCTCATCCGTCGGCGCACGCTGCGGACTGTGTCGCTGGCCGAGTGCATCAACCTGACCGACAAGTCCCTGTCGCTGCTCAGCCTCTGCACCCACCTCCACACACTTGGTATTCTCATTCACACACACACACACACACACACTCACACCACACACACACACACAGCACAACACGCCCGAAGAACCTTGCTCACTCGTTGTTTCACACACACATGCGTGATTCCAACATGACCTTACGTCATTCTCCGCTTCTTCTCCCTCCTCTGATTGCCAAACAGATCTGTCGGGCAACTTTGAGATGACCGACAAGGCGCTCATCGGCATCCTCAACAAACTCCCTTCCCTCCAACACCTCGCCCTTCGCGTACGCACTCTCTTCCACGACTCGATCTGCCGCCGTAGAGTTCAAGCTTCGCTTACTTTACCCGATTCTGTGGTGCGTTGTCGGTCGTGCGTGTCGTGTGCGTGTCGTGTCGTGTCGTGCGTGTGCGTGTGCGTGGTGTGAAAAGGATTGTGCGGGCATCTCGCCCAACCTGACGCGGCAGCTGGCCAAAAACGACGCCTGCGTGCACACCCTGGACCTGTCGGGCGTCAAGCTCCAGTCCATCTTCTCCACCCAGAAGAGCAAAGAGGCCACGTATATGTTGATGATGCTGATGATGCTGCTGATGATGAGGAAGAACACCACATGCGGGAATTCATGGAATGTTGAACTCACACACTCCTCCTTGCGCTGCGTTTTCTCCTGCGCACAGGTGGCAGCAGTTGCAGGACCTTCGGCTTAGAAGGTGCGTGCTGTCGCTGCCGATTGTGAAGGACGTGTCTTGCCTTTCGGGCCTCCGCAGGTACGGCCAACACCCACACGCACCACCGCACACACCACCGCACACGCGCTAATGAAAGAGATAACAGTCTCGATTTGACCGGTGTCGTGGGCGTGCCGTCGAGTGTGTTGGTCGACGCCGTATGCACTTCGCTCACGCAACTGGCCAGGCTGCAACTCAGGTGGCGCGTCCCCCCTCTTACTTGTTGGTAGTTCTGGTGGTGGCTGGCTGGCGGTGGCTGGCGGTGGCTGGTGGTTTACAAACAAACTTGATTCGCTGAACAGTGATATCGAGATCGAGCTTCCAAGCCTGAAGCGCCTCCTTGATGCCAACGCTTCCATTCAGGTACCACCCCCTCCGTACTGTCTTATGGCACACACGCACATGCTGATGTGTGGGCGTGCGGTGGGGTTTGTGTGCGTGTGCGTGTGCGTGTGCGGGGTGATCAGCGGCTGGACCTGGAAGGCTGTGTGATCAAAGTGGCGGAGCCCAAGAAAAAAGCAGGCAGCAAGCAGGGCAAGGCAGCGGCGAAGAAAAAGAAACAGGACCAGTTCGAGAGGGTCAAGCAGGCCAAGAACAAGAAAAACAAGAACAACAAGAAGGGACGTCAGCCGCCGCCAGCGCCCAAGACGCCCAACAAGGAGGGGGCCGAGAAGAGCGAAGACGATGAGTACGCCCCCTCCCCATTCGGAGTTAAATCACGATGCCGCGCCTCGGAACTAAACCGGCTTGTAATTTAGGTCCGAGCCCGTGCCTCCGCAACAGCAACGAGGTGGCGGTGGCGGCGACCACATGAAAGCGGGCAACCCGCTGGTGGAGTTTTCACTCCGCGACTCGCGCGTGACTCCCGATTCGCGCATCGCCGACGTGCTCCAGACGGCGCTGGACAGGCCGCTGCCGCACCTGGCCTTCCTTGACCTGAGCATGGACGGCACCCAGCACCTTCCCCTCCGGTCCACGTGGACCCAGCACACGGGCCTGAAGGCCCTCTCCCTACTCGGGTCGCAGTGGATTAGCCAGCACCCCGAGCCCGCGGGTACCGGTTCCCCTGCAACCACTTCCCATTTCCTTTTGCGCGTACTGGTTACCATGCAACCATACTCACCGAACCACAGACGACCCCAAGCCGCCAATCGCGCTGTCCCGTTTGCGCGTAGAGCGTCCCGCCTATCTCGACTACAATTCTCCAACCGTGCGTCTCCCTCACGCATTCAATCACACAACAATGTGAGAAAATCACGCAATGACAACAAACTACAACAATCAAGGGCGAGTGGTCCTGGCGCGAAATGTTCGGTCGGCTGGCGGCGACGCTCACCGAGCTGGAGCTGGTCCGCTGCGTTCGAGACCCACACCAGCTTTCGAACCTGGCCGCCCTCTTCCCTCACGCACCGCTCCACCCAACACACGGTGACCATTTTCATTTTCATTTTTTTTTGATCTTGTTTCTTTTCTTCTTCTAAATCATCTCCTATCAGGCCTGGTGCTGGCTCCGCCGTCGAGAGCGGCCAGGCCCGAGGACTGCACGCTCAGCCTGCTCCCCAACCTCAGGCGCCTGCGGCTGGTCGACTTTCAGTTATACGACACCGAAGTGGAGCCCCTCTTCGCCTATCTCTCCGCCTCCACACTGGTACGCTCGAGCCTCGAGGAGATGAGCGTAGTAGTGTAAATGTGTGATATAAGGTGACCCAATCTGAAACCGCCATTGCGGTGTGTGCCGTGTGATTGGTTGGTTGGTTGCACACAGGAATTGCTGGACCTTTCCGTGACGACCAATCAGGTCTTCCCCAAAAGCAAGTCGGCCTTCGTCGTGGCCAGCCGTCAGGACTGGACGCACAAGCGTTTGATTGCTGGTTCGCTCACGTGAACACCCTCACAACCACTTTTTTTGGGTCCACACGGTCTTTCTTCCGCTGGCCACGCAACGGTGTGGGCTCACCTCTTCCCCTCGGCATGGCAGGTCGCCTAATGCGTGCGGCCTATCAGCCCAGCTTCGCCTACGCCCTACCCTTCCACCTCCCTCCCGTACGGACTTCCCCATTCCGCTGTGCCTTTGTTTAGAATTCTTGACACGTGGGTGATGGGCGGCAGACGATGGAGGTGGTGGTACTGGGCGGGTGGCTCTACGAACATGCGCCGGGCGAGGTCAACTGCCACCAGGAGACAATTTCCGACGTACGTTTGCCGTTTGGTTGGTTGGTTTGCAACATGTGCGACGCTAAGAGCATTGGGATTGTGTGCTGACCAAGCCGCAATTTATGGTTGGTTGGTGGGGGCAGGTTTATCGCGGGTTGCAGGCCAACGCAGAACGAGGCCACGCGGTGCAGGTCATTCACCACTGCGCTCCCGGCGTCACCGGCAGAAGGGGCGCGTCTCTTCTCGACGACGGCGTCCTCGACGTGACTAGAACGTGCCCGCGCTTCAGCGACTGACTCGGGTCATTAGGTTAAGGCGAATTCTTCTTTTTATAAAGTGCAGAAACGGTGTGTGCCACCATCAACGAGCGTCAGTCTGCTTGTGGAAGTGGTGAGAAAAGGAGAAGAGCGCGCTTAGGCCTGGACCTGGATGGCCTTGGGCGGCTGGAAGAGCTCGGCCGAATACTTGAGCTCGGCGTACTTGCGGTCGAGCGCCGTCTGGTCGGCCTCGTTGGCGTCGCGCCTCTTCTTGAGCGACGCCTTCAGCTTGCGGATCTCGCCCTCCCTCTCCATCATCGTCTACGCACGATCGCATATACACCGCAGTGTAAGCAACGCACCAATACCACACACGCTCACACGCGCACACGCACACGCTCACACGCACCTTGAGGTTGGTGTCGAGCTGCTCCTTCTGGTGCTCGGTAAGGGGAGCCGACTGGTTGTTGAGTCGGTAGACCTCGGACCTGGCGCTGTTCTCCCGGCTGAGGGCGGTGCGGAGCTCGCTGTCCTCGGTGTTGATCACCGAGTTCTCCTTGGCGATCTTCTCGCGGAGCGGGATGATATCCTTCACCATCTTGTCCTTGATGTTGCTGTCAATGTAGCTATATCCCCGCACGACACGCACACGTTTGATGAGCTCATGGCACAACACAACATGCGTGTATGCGTGCGAAAGGCCGTACTTGAGGGCATGGTAGCTGTTGACTTGGTCGGCGCTCACATATCTGAAGTCGACCACGCTGTCCTCGATCTTGCGCTCGCGCACCGTGAAGAGGGTCTCGGCACCGTGCACCACCTTGATGTGGAACCGGTAGAAGTTCTCCGTCTTGTTCATCGGCTGGTCGGTCTCCGTGAGCTCGTAGTCACCCTGCGTGCGATTTCAATTATAAGCTCTTACAACGCGCGACACACGACACACACGACGACACACACGACTTCTCGCAAGCCTGGACCACTGACTGTACCTTGTAGAAGCGGTGCTCGAGGAACATGTCGGCGATGTCCTTGGAGCCCTTGTTGGAGAACTTGTACTCCTTCTCGTAGACGCGGTAGCGCGTGGTGGTGAGTCGGCCGTCGTTCACCGTCACCTTGTGCACATTCCGATACGACGTGTCGGTCTTGGACGTCACCAGCACGTTCATTTCCACTCCGAATGGCACGAACTACACCCACAGCAACACAACCTTCAAGTAAGCCATTCTATCGTGTGTGTGTGTGTGTGTGTGTGGCCTGTGTTCGTGCGCACCTTCTCATCGCCCTTGCGGGTGGTCTCGAGCATGGCCTCGCCGATGCAGGTCTCCTCGTCGAAGATGGACATAGGACCGCCGTCGAGGGCCACGTCAAAGTTGTTCTTGAAGCGCACCACCATGAGCGGGTTCTTGGCGTTGACGCCCTCGTTGTAGAGCGAGCACGACAGGCCCGAGCACTCGGCCGACAGGAAGGGCACCAGCGCCGACTGGCCGCGCTTCACCGTCACCGGCTTGTCGATGGCGTAGGAGAACACGTCGACCGGCTTGATCTTGCGCACAGTGTCGGAGCGCATGGTGGGCTTGGGCGGAACGGCGCTCGACGAGTACGACGGGCGCGGCGGCTCGACGAACTTGGTCGAGTTGGACGACGACACCTGGCCGATCTGGGCCTCGGAGGTGGAGAGCGACGAGAGAATGGCGGGCGCGTCCTTGAGCAGCGACTCTGAGTGGTAGGGCAGCACGTCCTCGAGCTTGGGCGGCTTCTGCGGCGCGTCCTCGTTGACCTTGAGCACGGGGCGCTGGCGGAAGCGCGGCGAGTAGAGGTCGTGGGTGAAGGCGTTGGGCTTGCCGCTCACCAGCGTGAGGGTCACGCCGTTCCAGTCCTCGTCCTGCGTGTTATCGATCAGCGCCCAGCCCTGGAGGAAGCTCTTGCCGGGCGTGAGCAGCAGCCTGTACGACGTCTTCCACACCGGTGCCTCAATCACGTACGACGCCACCAGCGTGCGCTCGCCCTCGCCCTAGACACATATGTACAACATCCACCGTCAGTCGTCTAGCTAGGTTTCGCCGCGAACGAGTCAGTATACCTTGGCGAAGACGGTGAGCTTCTTGAGGTCCTTCTTCTTGGCGTTGATGAGGACGTCAAGCAGGTGCTGCAGGTCGTGCCTCAGCGTCGTGTCCTTGAACACTACACGCACGCAAATAATAAGAAGAAGAAGAAGTGTGAGTTGAACGTTGCCGAGCGCTACAACTTGTTTCTAGAAGATGCTGCGATACCGAAGCTCTCGAGCTCGAGCACGGGGAAGGCCTGAATCGAGTCGTCTTCCATGAGGAGGTTGAGGACCTCCTTCTCCACGACCTTGCTGGTCGGGGTGGTGCTGCCCTCCTCCGTGGCCGTCTCCACGACGGTCACCTTTTCGAGGCCCAGCACGGTGCCCTCGACCACGCCGCCGTCGAAGAGGGTCAGCGCCACCTCGGCACCGATCGCCTACAACATGCCATCAAGTAGAAAAGCATCTTTAGAGATTTGTAAAAGTCCAAGTAGTGCGAGCTGGTAAAGATCTGTTGAGAAGGGTTATAAACCTGGCGAAGGAGCTCGGTGAGCGAGTTGAGCGGGTCGTTGAGGTGCAGCGACAGCTGCTCGAGCTGCTTCTCGACGGGCGTCTGGCATGTGGAGAGCAGCAGGTGTTGGTGAACTACTCGGGCTCGCGAGTAGGAGAAGCAAAGGGGACGCGAACCTTGGCCTGGTAGGAAATGGAGGCGACGCTGCCGCCACCGATGTCCACAGCGGTGAGCGACTTGAGCACGTCGTTCATCTCGCTGGTCTTGAAGTAGAGGTCCACATCTGTTTCGCCGGTGACCTTCTTCTGACTGTTTTTTTCATGTGTAAATGGAGGATTTCAGAAAGATTACGATAGAAAAGATGACTAGTTCAGATGGGGAAAGGTGCACAGGGAGAGAGGCAGTAGTACCGCTCGAAGTAGCCAACGCCGTGCTTGAACAGAACGATCTTACGAATGGGAAACATTATTATTTATCTATGTAGGAAGGCAGAAGATGTGTGGAAAGCGCTTGGTGCCGCTCGCACTGTGGTTTTCGGAAGAATGAATGAACGAAGAAAGAGCGACAAGGTCACTCTCTTGCAATCAGGGAACGGTCAAAGTGGGGTTCAGCTGCTCGCGACAGAAATGACATTTCACTTTACGGCAGGCATTCACTTACAATATGTGGCGACATTTTGCGACGGGTCACGTGAGCCATGGGTGCGTAGCGCCGCCGAACTTGTCGGTGAAAGCGTCCTTTTTGTCTCCATTCCATATCTCGGGCAAACAGAAAAGACGACAGCCTTCGCTGCAGATTGAAATCGACTGAACGCGCAAAAGGCCCAACGTCTTCCTCTTGCACTCAACAACATTTGACCGCACTAAGTGCCACGTACAGCGCACAGTAAGTCTCACGTACGCTCTCCAGTCTGTTTTGCCGTTCTACGTGATTGATGTGTACCAATTTGTTTTGTTGTCCACATGCACGTATTGGGATTGAACAGAAACAGAACTGCAGAAATAGAGATGGAGCAGCCCAAGGAGCGCAAGGGAAAGCAGGTCGCTGAATCAGTGACCGTCAACGAGGTGCCGCTGTTCCCGGTCAAGAAGGCCGTGCTGTCCAAGACCGGCATCGGCTACTTCGAACGGTACTACTGCCTCTCTGCCTCACCACGATAGCACAGCATGAGAACCTGATGCATCATACGACGCATATGCCAACAACAGGGAGGACGCAGTGGACCCCGGTCGGCCGTTCGAGCTGTTCTTCAAGAGCGGCGACATGAACGACGTCCTCAAGTCCCTCACCATGGTCGACGTGTCTGGCAAGGCTGGAGGTGCCTCTACTTCCTCTTCTTTTTCTCGGCAGCCAGGCCAGTCAGACTCTACGTCGCAGCTACTCACCTCTTGATGTGGTGGGTTGGGTGGGTGGCGGGCTGGCGCGCACAGGTCTGGTGTCGTCGATCAGCTACGAGTCGACGCGGCCCTTCGACAAGCAGCTCGACGACCTCTCCATCTCGCTCAACGAGCACTCGTCCCTGCGCGACCTGCTCGGCCAGGTCAAGGGCACGCCCGTCCAGGTGGAGATCCTCCGCCACGGCAAGCGCGACCTCGTCGAGGGCACCGTCATCGGTACACCTCCCGCCATCCCCTTCTGTTACCCCCTCCAGCTCCCGTTCAAGCGCGCGGTCGCTCATCTTCTTCCTGCTCTACACAGGCCTCGAGCAGAAGACGTTGGAGAGGCCGAGCTGGCACGAGGCCTACTTCCTGGCGCTGCTGGTCGAGGGCAAGGCCATCCAGTACTTCAACCTCTACTCGGTGGTCAAGCTGCGGTTCACGAACGAGCTCATGCAGCAGGACCTGCGCCACCTCCTCACCATCCTCCTCCAGGTGCGCCTTCCCCCAAAACCGCAGCCTCTACTCGCGAGTAGCGCGACTTACCACCTTTCACGACGCGGTGGGCTAATGATTTGTCACAGGCGAAGAAGAAGGACCTCAAGTCCGTAACGGGCTACACGCGCGGAGCGACGGAGAAGCGCAACATCCGAGCGTCGTACATCGTGGAGGCGCCCGTGTGGAAGACCACCTACCGCCTCCTCTTCAACACCAAGAGTACGAACAACCACGGTGCACGAACCAACGCAACGCAACGGGCACACTAACCACAATGGCTGCAAACAAACCAAACACCAAACACCAAACAGAGGAGGTGAAGTCGATCATCGAGGGGTGGGCGCTGGTGGACAACACGCAGAACGAGGACTGGCGCGGGGTGGAGCTGTCGCTGGTGTCGGGCGCGTCGAACTCGTTCATCTACGACCTCTACAACCCGCGTTACGCCGCTCGCACTGAGGCACGCCCCCAAACCAATACTGCCTCGCGGTCACTTGTGTCTGGCGGAGTCTAACGCCCGACGACCACGGACAGATCGAGGTGGAGCAGGAGGAGACCCTGGCGCCGCCCACGCTCGAAGACGCCGTGGCCCAGCACGACGTGTCGGCCCTCGTCGAGGCTACCGCCGTCCACGAAAAGAGTACGTTGTCGTTTTGTCGATGCTGAGTACATGTTCTAAACTTGAGGCCTTGTTACGATTTTTCAGGGAAGGCCATGCCGGTCATGCGCGCCAAGGCCGCCATGGCGCCGCCCCCGCCCATGCGTACGCAACTTCCCCCCCCCGCTCAACCAAGCATTTTGATGATTGGCTGTCAATTTAAGACTAAGGCCGAACGCTGACGATTGGCTGTCGTGGTGGTGTGAACCTTAGCGTGCACGTCTGCTCCGATGATGGCCTGCGCGCCGCCCCCGCCCATGTTGGCCCGTGCGAGCATGTCAAGCTACGCGAGCTACGACGAATGCGAGAGTGTGCCGCAGTCGTACGGAGACGACATGCTCTGCCTGAGCAACAGCATCGGTGGCGGTGGCCCGCCCCCTCCCCCTGCCGAGTACTTTTACCACCGTTCTCCTCTCATCGTCCTGTGTACCCCACACGACTCACTCTTGTTTGTATGCGGCGGCGGCTTATGCATACCAGGTTCTCGAGGTCGGAGGCGTCGTCGTCGGTGGAGGTCAACTCCGAGGCCAAGAAGATGGAGATGGCCGACCTCTTCCAGTACAAGGTATGGACCACCCGACCACCCTCTCCGCTTACAGGCCTCATTTATCTGCTCACGCAACTGCGATGGCCAATCTGACAACCAAACTAACCCAACCAACCACCGAACGGACAGATCACGAACGCGGTGAACGTGAACCGCAACCAGTCGGCCCTCGTGCCCTTCCTCCACACCGAGTTCAACGGCGTCAAGGCCTCCGTCTACAACAAGGTACCCTCTCGACCCCACCCACTCAGCCGCTTCGGCTTATTAATTGAGGGATTACCTAACCTGGGTGGTGATGGGCAAAATGCGAAGAATGTGCGGGAGGACAACCCGCTGGCGGTGATCAAGTTCAAGAACACGTTCGGCGTGCCGCTCGAGTCGGGGCCGCTGTGCCTGTTCGAGGACGACGTCTACGTGGGCGAGTCGATGCTGCCGCGGGTCAAGGTCAACGAGGAGATCTACGCGGCCTACGCCGTCGACCTCAAGACCACCGTCACCATGACCGACTCCTCCGAACGTACGCAGTCTCTCTCTCTCCTCCGCACCCGCTCGCACGAACTCACAACTCATTTCGTTGCCGACTGCCAGTGAGGCCCGTATACCAAGCCGACGCGGCGCAGTACGACTGGGAACGAGGCCGCCTGTACCTGAGGAGGTGGCGCGTGTACGAGTTCACCTACGTGATCGACAACAAGAACGATCAGGACATCGACCACTTCTATCTCGAGGTTCGCACACTTTACCTACCAAATTTCCAGTTTTAGAATATTTATATTCTGACCACGGCTGCACACAACAGCATCCGAAGAAGTCGTCGGAGCTGATCGAGACGGCGGAGCCCGATGAGCGCCTGGCCACTTCTACCGCTTCAAGCTGAAGGTGCCGGCCAAGCAGGTCGTCAAGTTTGTGGTCAAGTACGTCCACTGCACACCACCGCCGCCCAAGCATTTTCTTTTTCTCAGTCTGTTTTCTCATTCATTTTCCTTCTTGCTTGCGTCTGCCTGCGCACAGGGAGCGACAGACGGAGGACCAGCAGTTCCAGCTGGAGAGCACCACCCGGGCCTTGGTCGAGGAGTGGTCGGCGGCGGGCTACATCCCGGCCGACGTCAAGAAGACGCTGGAGGCCATCGCGAAGCGCAACGAGAAGGCGGCCGAGCTGCAGAAGAGGATCAACCGGTCCGACGCCCACCTGCGCTCGATCAACGAGGACATCAACCGGATCGACAGCTGCCTCGGCTCCCTCGCCCTCTCCAAGAGCAGCCTCTTTGCGTACGCCCTCTCCGCTCTGTCGTCTCGTCGATCGTTTGCGCGTCGCGTGTGTCGCGTGTGCGGTGGTGCGTGTCGTGCGGTGCTGACACCAATGTGTTCAAAAACAGGGAGCAGGACAAGTTCAGGGACTTCTTCACGAAGGAGCTCAACTCTACCAAGGCCGAGCTGGCCAAGGTGGAGAAGGAGAACCAGAGGCTCGTCGGCAAGCGGCTCGCCAACAACAAGAAGAAGACCGACCTTGTCAACACCGTCCGCTTCAAGAAGACCATCGACCAGCCCGCCAAGGACAAGAAGTAAGCCCGTAAGCGTGGCTTTACCTTCTTGTTGGCCTTTTTTCTTCTGAAATATAGATTTATTCTTTTATTTATTTTGTATTTTTGACGCACACAAAGATCTCCAATTCCAACCAATAGCCATGGCAATGGTGTTGACAGCCCCGCTGCCGGACGAGGTCCTGCTGCACCTCTTCAGCTACCTCGACCTCAGCGCCACTGTCGCCGCCCTACGCGTCTCGCGCCATTGGCACGAGCTCGCCAACGACCCCGTGTACCCCTTCCTAATAATATATTATAAATATTGTTTCTGTAATATATACTGCAGAAAATAAAAATAATATTCAGGGTGTGGAAGCGGTTGTGCGGCGAGAGGGAGTTTCCCAAGGTGGACCGCCGCCGGTTCGGCAGCGACTGGAAGCGCTGGTATCGCTGCATGGTGCGCTCTCTCCCCCAGCTCACTCGCAGCTGCGTGGTGTTCTCACCACCGGCGAAACTGTGCGCGCACGCACGGCGGTGACACAGACGGAACGCATCGCCGTGAACGCCTTCCGTAACGACTACCCAAGACCAGCGCATTCCTACGAACCGCCCATCCGCGTACTCGTGGAGCCCGACGCCAGCGTCCGCAGTACATTAAGTCTTGCCATTGCGCACACACCACTCGACCGCGCGCGCGTTTGAATGGCTGACGTGTGTCGCGTCGCGCGTGCCATGTGTGCAGCGTTGGTCCGGGTGATCGCGTGCAGTTCGATGATGCCGCCGCACAAGCTGCACCTCTTTCGCATCGACGACTTAGACGGCCTGGTGGCGCTGGAGGACCCGACCCAGAAGCTCGTCGACGCCGGCATCACCAGCAACACGAACGTCTCCTTCGGACTGTGTGCCAGGCCTCCAAAATGAAGCGAAACAATTTGGAAACAATTTGTAGCAACAAGTTCTTCGTCTTGCTGACGCTTGCAATGATGGGACGCAGGGTCACTCGCGAGTTCAGAAGGGTCGCAGGCCGCTCCACAGGCGAAGGCGTTCGTAGACGAGGAAGGTGATGATCGTATGGGGTCCTATGCGGATCCAGTTGGGGATGAACCCCTTGTACAGGCCGCGCAGTCCCTCCGCCCGCACCGTCTGTCAATCACCAACAACGAAAAAGGTGCCATCGTGTGTCGTGCGTGTCGTAGGTGTGTTTGTGTGTGTGTGTGTGTGTTGTGTGTGTGTGTGTGAAACAGTGTGATTCACAAATGCAACGTAGAGGGACGAACCTTGACGAAACAGTCGGCCGTGGATTGGTAGAGGGCCGGTCGGCCTTCGACCACCGGCTGATTCATGACCCGCGTCTTGACCACATCCACCTGCCACCACAATAAACGTCAAACGTGTGTGCGCGTACGTACGTATGCGGGGGTATGCGTGCGCGTGCGGTGGTGTGCGTGTCATTGCTGTGTTTTTTGTTCATGTGGACGTACAGGGGAGGTGACGGCGGCAGCGACCAGACCAGCGATCATCGACGCACTTGAGTTGGTTGATCGATGATTTGTGGTTGTTGATAGGACGCCATTAAGAAACGAAGGGCACAGTGCAGCAGGAAGGGAGCATCACAAGAAGCTGGCCACGCACCAGAAGTGGGCGTAGAGGTTGTCCTCGCGCACCACGCCAAGGCGCAGCAGCGCTTGCTTGGCATGGTCGTACGACGACAGCTACACACACACACACACGTCAGTTCCCACCGGAAGGGACCGCGCGGGGCGGCTCAAGCGGGACGGACCTGGGCGGCGGTCAACAGGGCGGCCCGCTGGGTGGTGGGACCCACGCCCCTGTAGAGGCCGGCCCAGCCTTCCGTGCGATAGACCTCCTTGAACGCATGCAGCGTGCTCTGTTGCAACGCAACGCAACGTTGTAGAGTTGAATGAGATTCACCGTGGCTGTCGTGACAGTGTCAAGAGAGCCGGCAAGTAAAGGTTTAACCTTGTAGCGTGGCCCACCCGTGGCATGGCTGCCGGTGTCAGCTTGCAGCCGCACTACGCAGAGAAAGTGAAAGTGAGCGCTGCGGTCAACGTTGCACACGACACGACACGCACGACACGACACGACACGAAAAACAGGACACACACCTTTGACAAGATCGGTCGGGTTGGCGATGGCTGCGCCGGTGGCGCCGGCGATGCCGCCCGCCACGATCTTCTTCCACAGGGGCGTCGTGGCCGGGTCCGTCGCGCCCAGCTGCGTCTTGCACACCTCGTACCCGCCCATCCTTCGAATGGTGTGACAATATCACGTCAGCCCACAATATGACAACATGACACGCACACACGACACGACACGCATGACACGCATGCGACACACACGTGATTGTACCGAATGGTCGAGTAGCTGGCTTCTCGCATCAACGACGCCGAGAGCCTGGCCGCACACATGGGAGTCAGATAGTGGCGCGTGCGGTGTGTGTCGTGTGCGTTGCGTGTGTCGTGTGTCGCGGACGCGTGCGGATTTGTACCCTTTGTAGAAGGCCGAGAGACCCTCAGTGCGGAGGAGGTGGGAGAGGAAGCCCACCTTCGACTGGGCCGCAGCCCCGCCCAGCTCGCCACGCAGCTGCAGTCGCACCTTCACCACATCAATCGGGTTGGTCTGTCCATGCACACATATCATACATAAAAATAAATGTTACTATAAAAAAAATTGTCAACACCGTGTTTTTCTATTGAAAATAGAAATAATAATAATAATAAATAAGATAAAGCGTACAAATAGGGCGGCAATGCAGCAGGAGAGCCCGCCGAGCACGAACTTCACTGCGGTGCCCTCCACGGGAGGGCTGGGGGCCACAACAGGTGCGGCGGACATGACCTGCTGCCTGTCGTCGTCGAGAAAGGAAACAATATAAGCAGCTGAAAAAATTAAGAAGAAACTTGCGTTTCTCTGTTGCAAAAGTGTTAAAAAGCTTTTTAATTCAAAAAAATACTTGTACTATGAACAAAGAGATGGAGGTGCTGCCGCCCGAGACTTGGTTGGAGGTGTTTTCGCTGCTCGATGCCCGCGACCTCCAGGCTGTCCAGCTCACCTGCTGGACCTTTCGCCAGCTTGGTGTGCATATCCTGTCATTTATTTCTATTTTTTATTCTATTTTATATATATTATTAGCTGGATTCTAAAAGTTGCGGGGGGAGGTAGGCGCTGACGACGGGCTGTGGCGCCGGCTGTGCGCGAGCGAATGCGGCCACCAGCAGCACCTGGCCACCCTGCGCCGCTGCCTGAAGCCCGGCGACGCCGCCATGTCCTACGCTGCTCTGTACCGACGCCTGCACCGTACGCCACGCGCCAGCCTCCCTCTCCCTTCTCCCACGTCAACTCGCGTTCTTCTTGACTCTTCGCTGTTGGCCAACAGATTCGCCCTATCTGCGGTGGGACCCCGCTCAGCCGTTGGACGTCAGCAACGAGGGGCTCACCGCCAGACAGCCGACCGAAGGGTACGATTGCCATCACCACCGTCATTGTCGCCGTCGTCATCATCATCGTCACTATTTCATCATTTCGTCGTCTCCGCGTGGGCAGGTGGACGACGACGTCGACCCTGCAGCCGCTCAAGCCCGGCCGGGTCAACTACTTCGAGATCACCTTCACCATGTACCTTTCCACTTTGTATGAACAAATCGAATTGGGAGGAGCACGCTAACGAGACACATATGACACGACACGACACGACACGACACGACACGACACGACACGACACGACACGACACGACACGACACGACACGACACGACACGACCAACGACACGACCAACGACACGACACGACACACACGCGCAGGTTCGGCGGAAGTAGCTTCCTGATTGGGGTGGGTACGAAGCAGTGTTTGGGTGCGCCCGAATGGTGTCTGGGTACGTACCAACGCGATTTGTGTGCTTAGCTCCATAAAAAGTTTACACAAATGGGCGGCGCGTATAAAAATTCACCAGAACGCGCCGATGGGTCATTCTTCCACTGTTCCCGCACGGTCTATGCGCGAGTGTACGCCTCTCTTGGAGGGTCCAAGCTTGATTTATCTATTTAATTACACTTTATTTATCTATCTATTCATTTATTTTATGTATTTTTGTATTTTTCACGCCGCACTCACCATCGTGGAGCAGAGATGGAGCTGAGACCACGTTGGAGGCGGGCAGAGGCTACGGCAGCGGGGACACCATCGGCGTTTACGTCGACCTCCGGCAAGGTTGCGACGTGTGCCACTTGCCTTAGCTGCAGAGGCAAAACTATGTGCACATCGCCGCGCGCGTGCTGACATCCGCGTACTTCCTCCACCCAGGTGCGGGCTTGATCACGTGGCTCGTCAATGGCGTTCAAGTGGTGGGTATGCTCGGCCTGGGCTCCCTGGCGGTACTCACTCGCCCCACCAACTTTTTTGGTTGATACGCCGCGGACCAGTGACACTTGTCTGTCCTAACATTTCGCAGGTCGCAGAGCTGTTGCCGGTGGTGTCGTGGGGCGGAACGCGGTACTGTATCAACCTGGGCGTAGTACCAGCACTGCCCGCGGTCGACAGCCCCGCATACGCACTGCAGCTGCCCCGAGAAGATAAGACTGAGATGAATCAGGAGTAGACCAACATTGTTCTTTCATTGCCAGGTTTGAGGGTGTTAGTTGGGCTGCTCCATGCGGCGTAGTTTGTGGGGTAGACTCCGCTGACTCTCGTGGTAGATCGCCACCTCGGCTTCCCATCGCCGATAGCGCTCCCGCATCAGCACCACCTGCGCCACCCCCTACCATCAGCCAACGAAGAGCGCCCCCACGCAGCCAGTGCTTCTATTTGATCGGCGCAACGTACGAGAACGCCGCAGAAGAGGAGGGTCGAGGTGACGATGAGGTTGAACCAGGTGGTCTTGATGAGGGGCGACACAAAGAGGAACACGAGGGTGGCCATATTCATCAGCAGCGAAAGCAGCCCGCCTGGCAGCCACACACGTTGTTCACGTGTCAGACCATACCTTTATTTTCGTGTGCGTGTGTGGTGATGCGTGTGCGTGCCTGTCTCGTATTGTGTGCGTGTGCGTGTGTGTGTGCGGGTGCGTGTGTGCGTGTGCGTGTGCGTGTGTGTGCGTGTGTGCGTGTGTGATGGACGAGAGAAGTACCTGACGTGGCCTCCGGGATGGGGTACAGCAGCTCAGCCGACAGCTCGAAGAGGGCCGGCCCGATGCCGCCCTGAAGGTCGAGTGATAAGAGACGACACTATAGTGGGGCGATGCGCGAAGTGTGGGGTGGAATGGTACGTACCTGGAAGAGGCCAGCGATGCCCAGCGCGGTCATGAGCGTCCAGAAGGTGCTCGGTATGAGCGCGCCGCCAAAGGGTGTGGGGAGGCTGAGGGTGAACCACGCGAAGCCCGACGTGGAGAGGCCGAACAGCAGCAGAAGCAGCAGCTTGCTCCGCCTCTGCAATCACCGTTTATAGAGCGCACACCAATACGACAGAACAATCGCAATCGATGATAATTATACTGATGAACACCAGTGTAATGTTCGCCACGTCGCACCTTAAAGAAAATGTCGGTGACGGGACCGAAGAGCACGCCTCCGGCAATGCCCGCTATGCTGTTGCCGAAGCCGAGCCAGCCGGACTCAGACTCGGTGTAGTCCAGGTCCTCGAGCGCCTGAGGCAGCACGCCCTGCCACCCTGTGGGCGGGCGCAGCGGTGAAGTGTGAGCGAGAGCGGCCAACTGGGTCGGTCAGAGGGGAGGAGGCGAGGGGTGCGGTACCGCTGGTGACGCCGGCCTGTACGCCGCAGGCGGTGATGCAGAGGAGGAAGGAAACGTTGAGAAGCGCGCCGCGCACGCCCTTGAAAAAACTCTCCTCGTAGCGCCCCTCCCTGTGGGCCAACGCCACTGCGCTCGGCGGGTGCTTGGGCCGCTCCCTGGCGATCAATCGACCCGACATCAGCCAAAGGAGACACGACACTACACTCGACACGCCACGACACGACCAACGACACGACACCACACTCGACACAACACTCCACACGACACGACACGACACGACCAACGACACACAGAGACACGCGTGGCCGAATCGAACCGGTAGTAGATGAGGCCGCCGAGAATTGGAAGCGAGGCCAGCCCGATCTGCACGTAGAGGAGGGTGGGCATCTGGTCCACTGTCGGCGCGAGCCCGGGACCCTGCTCCACGAAAGTGTGTAAGAATGAAAGAACGAAAAAAAAGACGAACGAAAGAAAGAACGAAAAGGAGAAAGGGCGGGGGCGCGCACGAGAATGTAGCCCACGGCGGTGCCCAGCGCATTAGAAGTGTATGCGAGAGCTGTGGCGGTGGCTCGCTGATGGTCCGGGAACCACACTGCTGAGAGCTTGCTGCACACACACACCACCCACATCGCCGTCGTCAGCCAACACTTCAGACAAAATGGTCGCAAGTGTGAACGTGTAAACCCAACACAGTACCTGCACACCGCGAACACGATAGGTCCAGCGGCGGCGTTCAATATCTGCCCTGCACGGTGCGGAGGTGTGGTCAGTGTGAGATCTCCGCCCCAACTGAAATGGGACTGCTGACAGACAGGCAGTGCACCGACGTGTAGGGTCCACTGCATGTAGAAGTTGCCGCGCAGGTGGGCCGGCGCCCAGCACGGGATCGTACGGATCACCGTCGCCAGGAATATAAGTGCATTGCCCTGCCAAGGCCATGATTCCTCGTAAGGCCACCGCACGCACGCACGCACACAGCACACAGCACACACACAGGCACACGCACACGCACACGCACACGCACACGCACACAGCCACACACACACACACACACACGGACCTGCCAGAAGGCGATGAGGAGGCCGTTGCGCCGCGTTTGGAGCCACGACACGTAGGGCAGCACCGGGATGTAGATGATGGTGCCCCAGTTGAGGAGCAGGTCGATGGTGGCATCGTCCACGCCTGGCGAGCCACGACACGGCGCATCGTCAGTGCCACATCAGCATCGCGTGCGAACTGGTGTGTGAGTGTACCGGGGTAGTAGCCCTTGGCGACCTTGGGCACGGAGGAGAAGGTGAACCATACGAGGCACTGCACGAACGACGCGAAGCAGAAGACGAAGAGCACCCACCACCGCAGCCACGTCACTTTGTACACCTCTTCGTCCACCACTCGGGGCTCCTCTTTTCCCTCTGTCACATCTCTCCTACTCCCTTTTTCATCAAGTGATTCATCACTTTCATCATCTTCAGTGGGATGGAGGAGATCTTTTTCCTCATCATCATTTATCGCCCTGGCGTGGCTTCGAAGGCTAATCACTTCCATTTGCACTGCCACCCACAAGAGAGTTTTTTTTCTTATTTTATCGTTAAAAAAGAGATCAAAAAAAGTTGTGGACATATTAATGCTGATCCATTCCAGCAAATACAAAAAAAAAAATTTCATTCCTGGACGTTGAGGCCGAGGGGAGGTGGAGGGTGGGAGAGCTGTGGCTTCTCGTGATAGATCGCCATTTCGGCCTCCCATCGCTTGTATCGCTCGTTCACGAACACCACCTGACACGTGCGTATGGTGAGACCACATTTACCAGTGTTTGTAGGCCTTGCTGCTGTACCATGATGAAGCAGCCGACCATGGTGAGCATTTGGATGGTGTTGATCCACGTCGTGGTGATCAACGGCGACACGAAGAGGAAGATGAGGGTGGCGATGTTGATCAGCAGCACCATCAGG